ACGAACCGCCAAGTCACTTTCTGCAAACGACGCAATGGTTTGCTCAAGAAAGCTTACGAGCTCTCTGTCTTGTGTGACGCTGAGGTGGCTCTTGTCATCTTCTCCACTCGAGGTCGTCTCTACGAGTACGCTAACAACAGGTAAGATTATACTTTCTATTTAACTTCTTCAGATCTTGATTGTTTGTGTGTTCTCTGAATTTTTCAATTATCTTTATGGTTTCTCTCTCTGTGGTTTTTTTTCTCTCCTTCTTTCTGAGCCTCAACTTTTTGTTTCAAATTTTTTATTTATATGTGTGTACCAAAATTAGGGTTTGTACCCAGGAACCCTAGTTTTGCTTTGGGGAAACTCTGGTATTTTTGCTTCTCTCTCTTGAAAAAAAGCTGTGAGGTTCTTCTGTGATAATTAATTAGTATCCCCATACCTTGTACCGGTAACTTTTTCTTTTACTAGATCTTTTATAGTACAGCCTATCTATATGTATCTATGTATGTCAGTTCTACATGACATTTCGATAAATTTGATGACCCATCAGGTTCATTTCTGCAGATTGATCATATTTAGGTTTCTATCATATAAAGTTTTATAAAATATAGTTTTATATATGCCATATAAAGCTAAGTAGATTCCTTAAAAATTGATACACTAGCTAGGGGGAACTAGGGTGTTTTGTCTTCTGACACTTCTCTAAAAAAATCAGTGATTTGGTCTGTTAAATCAAGAAATGTTTAGGGGACAAAGCTTGTGGTTGTGTCACTAATTAATCTTCCATCAATCAACAAAAGAAAAAAACACAGAAAATTTGACTTTTGGTTATTATTTTTTCCCACTCCAAGTTGGGGACTAGTCATTTCCAGTTCTATCAAAGTTTCCAGCTATTAACAGCTAATGTTCTTTTCGTCATTTTGATTGTTTTAGAAATATTAATCTGCTGTTTTTTGGTTGGTTAACATTACAGATAAGTTGATGATCAATACTCTAATTTTCTTAAAGTCAAGGTTTGATATCATGGATCTAATTAATTAGATGCAACTAGAAAATTTGTAGTTACAATGTAAACTTCACAACAACTAAAGAATTTTTTTTCATTCTTTACCAACGTGTAAATATTCTATATATATAGTAAATGTGTATGTGACATCACGATCTTTTAAAAGTACTTTTAATTAAATACTCAAGTAATCTGATTAGCATGCAGAAGAGGAATTAGGTCTAAGTATGTAGAAATTTGTATTTTCTAGGTTTCTATTTTTAAATGCGTAACTAAAATTCACACTATCTTACTTATTTCAACGTCCTCATGCTTTAATGCCTTTTGACATTTCTCAACCTCAACTTTCCATCATACATCACAAATTAAATGGTGAAAATGATAACATATCATACACAAATATATTTAGCTTCTTTTCTCATTTTTTAAGGATTTGGGAATTTCACTTTCCTGATTAAAACAGTAATTGCCTCAAATTAATTTCATTCATATAAACATGTTGTAGTACTAACTAAAATTCTAATTCAGGTATGGTATTTATTATAAATTTATGATAGCCAAAAGATACATATTATATGGGGATTCGTAAATCTAGTAGTGTTTTTGATCAACCTAAACGGAATTTTTGATTTTGTATTATATGAAAATTTGGACACATTGCTAAACAAATTCTATTCTTAAGAAGCTTATAATAATTAGGTTTCATATTGATGGTATTTTTAATTTTCCCTACCACCAAAATAAATGAACAAAATGAAATTAGATACCGATACATTACGTACATACAAACAACAAACACCAAGGGACTAATTACTCATACAACGAACCTAGTTTTGAAATATCAAATGATCCATAAATGCAACTTTTATTGGGTCAAATCAATCGCTAAATATATTAATCATGTCTCTACATGGATAAAGATGTACTTCGTAGGATATATTTATTAGATGTTTTTGCCTCTAACCTTCTAATTTACTGTCTCTCGTTTTTTTTGTGTGGATGGCGATGAAAAGTGTAAGAGGAACGATTGAAAGGTACAAGAAAGCTTGCTCCGACGCTGTGAATCCTCCTTCCGTCACTGAAGCTAATACTCAGGTAATTAAGCTTCCTTAATTAGTTAATTAACTACTACTTTTTCCTCTTATTCACCAAGTTCCAATTTCATTTTCTGACTTTACTTAATCCCTTGTGGGGTCAAACACTTGATGAAGTACTATCAGCAAGAAGCATCTAAGCTACGGAGACAGATTAGGGACATTCAGAATCTGAACAGACACATTCTTGGTGAATCTCTTGGTTCCTTGAACCTCAAGGAACTGAAGAACCTTGAAGGTAGGCTTGAGAAAGGCATCAGTCGTGTCCGCTCCAAGAAGGTTAATACACTTTCCCTTCCTTCAATCCCTTATATGCTTATAATTAATCTGATTCTTGATCCTTACGTTTAATTCTTGGCCCCAGCATGAGATGCTAGTTGCAGAGATAGAGTACATGCAAAAAAGGGTAACAGAAAGACATATCTTCCTCAACAAGTAACCCTATTTTCTATAACAGTCTTTTCTTTCAAACCATGACTTTCTTTTTTGTTCATGTAGGAAATCGAGCTTCAAAACGATAACATGTATCTTCGATCCAAGGTCTTATCTTAATTATATGTACTTCTTGTTATAGTATCAGTTTTATTTTTCTCACAATATTTATAAGTTTTATTATATTTTTTGTGCAGATTAGTGAAAGGGCGGGAATGCAGCAGCAGGAACCGAGTGTGATACATCAAGGGACGGTTTACGAGTCATCTTCTCATCAGTCGGAGCAGTACAACCGGAATTATATTCCGGTTAACCTTCTTGAACCGAATCAGAACTCCTCCGACCAAAACCAACCACCTCTCCAACTTGTTTAAGCAAAGTTTAATCAGAGCATATAATAAGCTTCTTATGCATATGTCTATTCATGTTACACTTACGGCTAAAGAACTTAAAAATAAAGACGGGTAACGATTTGAGAGAGACCTAAGTTACTTTTATGTACCTTGATTATTTATATGTAATCTATTGTGAACGTTCCAGCTACTATCTTCAACACAAGAGACTTAATCTACTTATAATGCAAGAGTTTAAACCAGAGAGAACGTATAAGATCGTACCTCATGATTACTATAATTCTAGAGAAGACCAATGAAACACAAAAGGGTTTGTGGATTTCAGAGTCTTGCATGCCAAGTAAGGTCTTTGACAGCGAGTTACTAAAGCTGGTGGAAGAAACTAGCAATCCTCAGATTAACACTCTGCAGTATATGAGGCTCTGTTAGTGTATTAAGACGTAGTAAGGTCTCTTGATTAGTGAGGAGGATATATACCTGAAAACTAAAGGGCAGAGACGAGGAAAGAAGCTTGAAACGAGAAACTGATGATACTAGTACTCTCTGCAAGAAGTTAGTCTATACAAATGATGCATTTCTCACACCACGGTTTTATAAAGAAAACCAAGATTCCATGTTACAAAGCAACAAGGACACATGAAAGGCCTAACTTTTACTGCAGCAGAGCAACCTAAAGGAGAGACATGTCTTATCATGAGAGTAAAAGCCTCACATAGCCAAAATGTTGTTTGTTTCTATACATGTGTTTTGGCATCTGTCTTAATCTGTGGAGACTGTTTCCCATAATAATTTTAGCTCTCTCAATGCAGCAGGATGTGATTAATTATTTTAAATCTTACTTTAGTGTAATTCTTGAAGAAATGTAATGTAATGGGATAGAGATAGTCCTAAACATGCTGTCTCCTCATAAGTTAACCATGAACACTAACTCAATGTCATTAATGAAATTTCTGACATTAGTAGAGATATTTATTCATTGGATGGTAAAACTTGGGGCTTGTAACTTGAATGCATGGAGACCAGACCAGCTTGCAATATTTACTCCACGAGTTTATTACAGCAACAGCACATCTCTGATGTACTACTGCCCCCTCTTTAATGCTAGTATCTTAATGCTTACTAGTTCTTCTCTCTCTCTTGATTAAAACTAAATGCTCGTGAAGAACTAATTGAGCAGGTAATATAACATTGTGTTGCCTTTGTAGGCATGTCAATCTATATAAATTTGGAGTTTGACTTTTTATTGTACCTTTGTTTATGTATGGAAACTTGATGAATTTCTCTTTCTCATGTCTTTTTTGATAATAATGTTTATGATTCTTTTATNTCTCTCTCTCTTGATTAAAACTAAATGCTCGTGAAGAACTAATTGAGCAGGTAATATAACATTGTGTTGCCTTTGTAGGCATGTCAATCTATATAAATTTGGAGTTTGACTTTTTATTGTACCTTTGTTTATGTATGGAAACTTGATGAATTTCTCTTTCTCATGTCTTTTTTGATAATAATGTTTATGATTCTTTTATAGCTTCTTATTCGTGATAGTATATTTCAAAATGCAATGTCTCTGTCTTTTTCAGTTTTATTTGCATGTGATACATATCTGGACGTTGTTGAAAAGTGATTGAGAAACAGAGGAACTACTACAGTTATTATTCAAGATCAAGAAAGTTTTTAAAACAGAAACATCATTAAATATAAAGGAGTATACATCCTAAATATTACTAGAAACTATAGAACACTCTACTGAGCACACACACACACACACGGCATAGGATAATTAACTGGTGAAATGAAACTCTCTTCTTTTCCTCAGATTCTAGGCTTTTAGACGACCTTCATTGGCAAGCTTGAAGGTCTGGGCCTGTTTTGTGGCTGCCTTGGTTGAGGAAAGTCCTGCCAGAAAGTGGTCTCTGACTTGAGGGGTTGTGAAAGGGAACTGACTGTTGACCATTGAGTTTAACCAAGACGCTGTGCCTTCACGGTAGAGAGATCCAATGGCATCAGTGCGGGTGTTAGAAAGAGCCTGAAGAAGGTTCATGTGAGGATCAAACCCTGGAATGCTACTTGGAGTACTGACTGTACCAAAAGCTCCTCCAAGAGTTCCCCACCAGCCAAGAAGACCCCATATCAAAGTAGGGTGGTTTCTCCAGTAACTGCACAAAGAGGATAAAACTCATTAACCATTACTATATGTAGTAGTGTAATGTATGAGAGGAATGTTTGTTACTTACTCGCATGTTCCAGTGATTGGTGGAAAAGGAGCAGGGAGGAAAGGAGTGCCAGGGTTAATAAAAGGAGTTGGTGGGGTTCCTCCAATGATGGGTGTGCCTGGGTCAACAATGGGTGTTGGTGGAGTTTCAATGACTGGAGTACTTGGTGGAGGAGATGAGTAATATCCACCAGAAGGAGTTGGTGGGGATCCTCCAATGGGTGTACCTGGGTCAACAATAGGTGTTGGTGGAGTCTCAATGACTGGAGTGCTTGGTGGAGGAGATGAGTAGTATCCACCAGATGAAGGAGGGGTTCCTCCAGTACTGGGTGTGCCTGGGTCAACAATAGGTGTTGGTGGAGTCTCAACAACTGGAGTAGTTGGTGGAGGAGAAGAGTAGTATCCACCAGAAGAAGGAGGGGTTCCTCCAGTACTGGGTGTGCCTGGGTCGACAATGGGTGTTGGTGGAGTCTCAACCACAGGAGTACTTGGTGGTGGAGATGAGTAATATCCACCAGAAGGAGGATTTGAAGGCGTTGAAGGGCGTGAAGGCGTTGAAGGGCGTGAAGGCCTTGAAGGGCGTGAAGGTGTTGAAGGGTGTGATGGTGGAGTTCCACAGTGACAAGGAGGACTAGAGTGTGATGGAGTTGGGGTGTGTGATGGAGTTGGTGTGTGAGATGGAGTAGAAGGGGTTGGAGTGTGAGATGGAGTAGAAGGAGTTGGAGTGTGAGAGGGAGTGGAAGGAGTGTGAGATGGAGGAGTTGGGTCGTAAGGGGGACTTCCACAGTTAGAAGAAGGAGGGGTATGTGATGGAGTTGAAGGAGTGGGAGTGTATCCTCCCTGTGATGGAGGAGTTCCTGCATGTCAAACAAAAACAATAATTAGTCAAGTAATTAAGATGCTAAATTCAAGATTATCATTACATCAAAAATGCTTATAAAAGGAGTGCATGTGTATGTTTATTTGCTTACCAGAGGGAGGGGATCCTGCATTTGGGTCAGGAGGAGAGTAGTATGTCTTCTCATCCTCTAACTTTATGGAAGCAACAGAAGCAAACAGCTGCTGGGAGAGTAAAGCAGCAAAGAGAGCCCAAAGGGTAAGACTCTTCATCATCCCTCTCATTTCAAAACAGAGAGAAAACACAACTTTTTGTTTTGCAAATGGTGTGTTGATGGTAAAATGAAAACAGAAACTAGGATTTATAAATAGAGGGAAGGAAAGGGTTTTTGAATGTTTTTGAAGTAAATACAAACAGGTGGAGTAGTGTGTGGTTAGTTGATATGTTGCAGGTGCATTTACACTATCACATTTACTACCCTAGGTGATTGCAATAACACTTGGAATTCTGAATCAAAAAGAAAAGTGTTAAATTAATTTTTCATGCATAGGCATGGACACGTATGAGAAGCTGTCTCCCATATGAATGATTTATGTCACTATTTCTATTTACGTTTTCATTTCATTAACTCAGTACTTTGCTTATGTTTTATTGCATTGCATGACACCTTTCATCTTTGTAACTAAAAAATGCAAGCTAGCTTTGCTATCATGTGAGGTTAATTAATCCAAGTAAGTTTCCACTCTTGTGAGTGATTAAAATGTAGGGCAAGCCTCTAATCAAGAATCTAGGTAGACTTAACGTAAGACCCTTTTGTTTATGTGCTTTTCTAATATTAGTCTGCTAAGGAGATCTCCTTAAATTGGTTGTCGCTTGACGTTAAAAGAGAAGTCAAGCTACATTTATTACACGTAAATAAGGTCACTCGACTCTTCTCGACACAGTGTTGTAGACAGCAAACCCTAAGATTGGACATAAATCATTGGTGTCCTTGGTAGTTTTCCATGGTATTTACATGAGATTGCTCTTTCTTATTCTTAAACAAGTCCTCGAGAGAACTTAGTTGATCCATGATTTATGTTTCAAGTTTTGGATTAATTAGCGGTTTATTTATTGCTTTTTGATTTGGTTTTCACCTAAATATATAGTTTGCATTCAAGTGACATTTAAGTCTGAGTAACAATAAGAGTGGTAAATAGTAGATCTATCGAGGACATTAGCGACACGTGGAGATGCAGACAGAGAAGAAGACAAATAAAGAAAAGACATAACAAGAGATTTTTTTGTTAGAGAGTAAAAATATGGAAAGATAAAAAAACAAAAGATGAATAAATGCGGGTTAGGTGGGTCTGAGAATTATAACCATTTACGTTGATGCTTCACCAAATAATTCACTCTTACTGTGTACCTTCGCTGGCTTCTGCATCTTCTTTTACTATTGTGACCTGATTAATTTGTTAAAACTTGTTTTTATTTGAAGTTATTTTGACTTTAACATAATAACAAAATCTACTCGACCACTTCTGAATACAACATCGATTTTTTTTTGCCAACCACTTTAGATTAACAAACGACAAACTGTTTTTCCGTTATAATGCCATTTGAGATTTAAATTAGTGATTGCGTTTCAAATTATCTACATAATGCATTCAATTCAGTCCTGAAAAGAAGAGCATTCAACCAGTTAAAGTTTGTTAGTACAAATTCATCACTAGCGTCCTTCACCCATGTATTCATATATATTCATTTGGATGTTACGGTATGACATTTAAGTTTTAATTTTGAACAAAAACTAAAACAAAACCATAATTTCCATTTCCAAAACCAATTAAAATTTCTGGTTTTGAAAATATATACGTCAAGACGTGACATTTGAAAGTCTGTTAGTTGATATATCATTTCAAACCCGTTGACACTTACGGATGCTTTTGGCTTCTACGATAAGATTATTTGTTTCTTTAGTAGAATAAGTACAGATACAGAATATGCTCGCATACTTATCTTCTTTTCTTATTGTATTAGGCTTAGAAGACTTGTAATGTCTATGTATACTACTGATAGGTCAATACAATAAAATGTGATTTTTTGAGCGAAACAAGTACCTCTCCCTCATGTTGATGTTGTTAAGGCGGTGTAATCCATCAGAAATGGTAAAACGGTCAAATAAAATTTGATAGGAATAGTTAGGTAATTTCCACTGATGGTTAGAACGGTTCCATCTGAATAACTCCAAAACTAGGGCAACGACACATACGAACAACTTCATTCGAAGCGTTTAAAAGCCCCAACCATTAAAAGGATCAAAGTCTTAACAACCAAATATACACATACAAAAACTATGTTTATGCAGAAGTTATAATTGCATTTTTCGAGTAAAACGTTATGAATTATTAATATGCAATTTTAGTAAGGTTCGCTAACCGATCGTATAATATAGAACAATACCGTTGATGATGATTGACGACCATCATAATATTATCAAATGTCAACCATCATCATCATCACCATTTCTTGCGGCTGCTACTCTTCTAATTAAAATTTACAACACAAATCACAGCTTAAGACAATCGCATAATATGTGAATAATTCAACTAAGATTCTTTCTTATTTTATTTTTGTAATAAGGAGTTATTTTGTTCTGCAAACCGACGACGTAAAGTAGCATCATACATGCTTAGTGCCGCGACAAGGTTAGTAGACGTTTTTATATTCTTTGACATTGCTCATATATGCACTGCACTATATATTAAGAAGGAATCTATTAAAAGCGACTTCTTAACTAGTTATTCGTTATTAACTTATTCTAAAACTCCTCTCTCTTTTTTTTTAACTTCTATCAAGATTATATAATTTTATCTTAGGTGCATGAACAATACCATCAAAATGACGTGTCTATATTTCAGGAATCAATCAATAGTGTACACACAATTTATCAATGTGAGAATAATGTAACGTTCGAGCGTAATCACTTCCCTAAAGTATACACAAAGAACTACTCTTGTGAACGCACTAAAAACCTTAAGAATAGTCTAATGTATGTGTTGTATAATAATATTAGACACCGATCTCTTTCTAAAACGCACAGTTTGCAACGTAACTTCGACATAACATAAGTAGCCGGCCACAGCAGATCTTTAGGGATTCGCGTATAATTTCTTTTTCCCTATAATGATATAAATCTAGTGGAACATTTCGTTAGCAAGTATATGTTTAAACTATACTGAACTATTATCATGAACAAAAGAATATAAAATATTATGAAATTATTTAAGAGGGAGATTATGGGGATCAGATACATATGTTATACATTCATTTACAATCTTGGTTATAGCATATTCCAACTTCCAAGCACATGCAACTGTCTCTATTTCTCTCTCACCCAAAATTCAACAAAAAACCAGAAAAATACATTAAAAAGTCAACCAGTAATTGTTTATTTGTTAAGAAATGATTATGTTCGTTGTATTGTAAATTCAATTAATATATTTCGATCTAAATGGTTTGTAGATAATCATAATACAGATATATAGTAGATCTATAAACATGAATTATTACAATTTTTAAGATAAGAAGATACATTATTTCCATATGGCATTGACCAATAAATCTAGCAATGTTTAGCTATAATCCCCCCCATCAACTAGCCGTTCTTAAATATATAACATTTTCTTTTCAACAAAAAAGATATATAACATTTTCCCTTCTATATATATTTTTTTGGCTGAGGAAAAGTATTGGGATTTCTTTATCATAATTTTAATTATGTTTAATGGAAGAACATATAGTATAGTTCCTTTGAAGATTTATATAAGAGAAAATGAGCTAAACCAATTTCGATACGGTAATTATTACTTCAATAATGTTTTCCATATAGGAAAACATGAGCTATATCTATATATTTAATTTCATAATCACCATAATACATGTGTATGCATCTGCAGAACATGTTTAGTGTCACCGTCTGTTGCAATGAAAATGAAAAAAAAATATTGCAGCCTGAGCTCTTAAGGAACTGTATCTTAAAGATCAATCATGTGTCAGAGCCACCCAAAAAAGTCTAAAAAAGAAAGAAAATAATTAGAATAAGCTCACATGGTTTTGACTTTAGCATTCACATAATCTCCACTTATAAGTACTCAGCTCATAATCTAATTTGTTGCAAGTAACAAAACAAAAACAAAATGGCTCTAGAACCAAACTTCCTTCTCTCATGGGTCTTCTTATGCATAGCTGCAACAATCTCCAGCACACTTTTCTTCTTCCGCAAGAAACCTCACAAGTTCACATCAAAAAAGCTGCAGCAGCACAAGAAGAAGCTTCCTCCTGGAGACATGGGGCTTCCATGGATAGGTGAAACAATGGAGTTCTACAAAGCTCAGAAAAACAACAGAGTTTTCGAGGATTTCGTGAATCCAAGAATCATTAAACATGGTAACCTCTTCAAGACAAAAATCATGGGCTCACCAACAATAGTAGTCAATGGAGCTGAAGCCAATAGGCTAATATTGTCTAATGAGTTCAACTTAGTGGTGAGCTCATGGCCTTCTTCTTCTGTTCAGCTAATGGGCATGAACTGCATCATGGCTAAGCAAGGCGAGAAGCATAAAGTCCTTAGAGGGATTGTAGCTAATAGCCTTAGCTACAATGGGTTAGAGTCCTTACTACCTAAGCTCTGTGACACTGTTCGGTCTCATCTTCAAACCCAATGGAGAGGCAAGGAAGAGATTGGTCTCTACCGTTCAACAAAAGTTCTAACGTTTACTGTGGTCTTTGAGTGTTTGTATGGGATCAAAGTGGAGCTTGGGATGTTAGAGATCTTTGAGAGGGTTCTAGAAGGAGTTTTCGCTTTGCCTGTTGAGTTTCCTTGTTCTAGGTTTGCTAGAGCGAAGAAAGCTAGGCTAGAGATAGAGACATTGCTTGTTGAGAAAGTTAGGGAGAAGAGAAGAGAAATGGAACAAGAAAAAGAAGCTGAGAGACCAAACAGAACAACACTCTTCTCGAGGCTAGTACAAGGGTTGATCAAAGGCGAGATAACAGAAGAAGAGGTTGTAGATAACATGGTTTTGCTAGTGTTTGCAGCTCATGACACAACCTCTTACGCCATGGCCATGACCTTCAAGATGTTAGCTCAGCATCCAACTTGCCGTGACACTCTCCTTCAAGGTAACAAACAAAACAATAACAAATTAATCTCAGAACATATTCACCAAAAAAAAAATCATACTCAACTCTCTTGTTTAATCTCAGAACATGTTCAAATAAAAGCAAACAAAGGGGAAGGAGAATACCACCTTACGGTGGAAGATGTGAAGAAGATGAAGTATAGCTGGCAAGTTGTTCGTGAAACAATGAGATTATCCCCTCCAATCTTTGGTTCCTTCAGAAAAGCAGTTGTTGATATAAACTATGGAGGATACACAATCCCCAAAGGCTGGAAGGTAAAAACATATTCATCTCTATAGATGACATGTTTCTTTCAAGAAATACTAAACAAATATTTGGTTTCTTTCTATGAGTGCAGATACTTTGGACAACTTATGGAACTCATTACAATCCTGAAATATTTGAAGATCCAATGAGTTTTAATCCTTCAAGGTTTGATAAGGCAGTACAAGCATATACATATCTGCCATTTGGAGGAGGACCAAGGCTTTGTGCAGGTCACCAACTAGCAAAAGTCAGCATCCTTGTTTTCTTGCATTTCGTTGTGACAAGTTATGATTGGTCCTTAGTGTATCCAGATGAGACAATCAGCATGGATCCTCTTCCAGTTCCGTCCCTCGGAATGCCAATCAAAATTTCTCCCAAGGTGTCATGATAGTTTAATAGAGAAGGAAATGAATGACACTACATGTTTTCATAACATTTCCTTGTAACTATGTGTAAATGCTAACTTGCAAAATTTATCCACAGATCATTTCTACCTTCCAAACCTGCAAGATTTTATTCCAATTTATTGTGTAAAAACGATATGATCATAAGTGAAAAGAAGTACGAGGTTTTGTTCTCTGATGTGTTCCTGTTTTATGATCTGTTTCTAAACGTTGCTGTCTTTGAACACTATGACTTGTTTTTCCACAGCGAACCAACTAGTCAAAACGAAGGTGTGCACATCTGCTTCTTTAGTCCATCAGCCATTCCTTGTCCTCCTCTCACCTACTCTTCAAACTTCCCATCATAGTGTTTACTTTTTTTCTCTCTTCTTTATCTTCTTTGTTGGGTTTAGTCTGTGTTTGGTACTTTGCAATCGTTATTTGAACGTTGGAACTAAAATATGAAGCAACCTTCTATAGATAGCTTGAGCCTGTAAACGCAGTGGATCTTTAAGCCGGCAAAAGATCCATACAGAAGAGATATGGAAAAGGTAGGTGAAGACGAGGAGAAGACCATTGGAGAAGCAAGCAACTCTACTGAGGAGAAGAGGAGTGATAAGGAAGATGAAAGGATCATGGATACACCAGTAGTAGATTACACAAAACAAGGCTCTATGGATCCATCTAACTCACAGACGGTCACCTTTGAAGATCATGATGTAAGTGAGTATGAAATGGAAGATGAGGAAGTTCTAGAGCTTTTTAGACGTGATAGCGGTGTGAGATCTGAGATCGCCAAGAGCCACAACTTCCCACATCTAAACAAGCCTGAAGATATGGTTCTACAGTTCCAAGAAGACACTCCTGCAGACACAGAACAAGCAAACATACTGCTCCATAGCATGGGTGATAGCAGCGAGATTGCCGATCTAGGCGCAGAGAATTTGGATTCTTCTGTAATACTTGAAGGAATTAGATCATCATCAGATTCAAAAGAGGATATTGATGACTCATCAAGTGACTCTGACCTTTCTAGTTATTACTTTGACGGGTCCTTGCCCCTTTCAGTTCATGTGGAAGGACCTGAAACCCACCAAGATGAATCTCATGTACCTAAAGATGAAAACCAGGTTTGCACTTCACAACTATACCCTAAACAAGCAAATGGCACATCTTTCTATATAAGCAACAATTCAGCTGTAGCTCTAGCTTTGTTTACTAAGACACTAGCCATTACATTTTTTCAGATGCCTCTACTGCGCCTTAACCAACCCGTGCAGCAACTAACTTCGTGGAGGAATTGCTGCGGACTCCTTGAGCTTCTCCGGGCTGCTGATCCATAGAAAACAGGCACCAGGAAAAGTTGACCTAGAGCAAACCAAGATTATGGTCTTCTGGTACCTAATTCTAGTCTGCAGGGAATGTATATTTGCAGAAAATAAGGAATAAAAGCATAAGCACTAGACATAGAGGCCAGAGCCACGTATTCATAGAAGTTAGACATGTGACATGTTCTAGTAACCATCACATCATGGTTTTTAATAGTAAGTTGTCCATGTTCTTTATTTTCTTGAGTTTATAATCTTACTGTCAAACAAAATCTACTAGAAATCAAGTCTACCTTTGCAATTTAGTTAACATAAATACTGCAAACTATTTCAAAACAACAGCTAGTTGTGATGACAAACCGATATCAAATGCATTCATAGCCAAAAAAGCCAAAGATTCATCAATCATCTTAAACAAACAAAACATATCCAACAACCAAAAACAACAAAAAATCGACACCAAAAAGTTATAGGCACCTATATGACTGCGGAACTGCAAAAAAGTTATGGTCTTCAGCTCCTCAATAATACTGAATCACGTTCGTTTAGAGTAGCATACAAACACTGTCGCTGCTACCAAACCCAAAGCTCCAACCGAACCAGCAGCAACCACTGACCAATCCAATTTACATTCTTGGTCACCATCCTTTACATCCCTGACTCCAACCGTAGGCTCCTTAATTCTCTCGTTCAACACAAGCAACGTTCTCTTACCTTCATCAACCTTCTTCAACAACTCCTCCTTCTTCAACTCCAACTCTCTTTCCCTTCCCTTTAACTCACTCAAATCTTCCTCAATTCGCTTCTTCTCAAACTCAAATCTCTCCACTTCCAACATACCCTTCACCAAACCCATCTCAAAGTCAGACACTTTCCTCTTCAACTCCTTAACCTCCTCCTCTTTCTCATCACCCTTCTCCCTCATCTCCTCCTCTACTCTAACTTTCTTACTCCTCTCCTCCATCAACCTCACTTCCAAAACCCCAACTTTCCTCTCCAAGTCTCTACCTTTCTTCTCAACCTCACCTCTCTCTTTCCTCAAACTCTCAACTTCCTTCTCACACCTCTCAAACCTCTCGCTCTCCTCCGTCAACTCCCTCTTCATCTCCGCAACCTCTAACTCCCTCTCGTCTCCCTCTCTCAATGCGTTGACGAGATCTTCGTGGACCTTCGCTAATTCGCTCTCTAGCTCCACGGCTCGAGAGGATACAGATTCTAATCCTTTCTTCTCTTGTTCTAACTGCTTGATCTCTGTCTCCATCTCTTCGAAACTCTGTTTCATCTCCGCTTCTGTGGCTCTCATCTCCTCGATTTCTCCTGTCAATTTCGAAACTTTCTCCTTTAATTCTCGATTCTCCAGCTTCTTCTTCTCCAGCTCATCGTCGTTGACCATCGCTTTCTCGACACGATCGTCCGCCATTGACATTGATCTTAGAACAGTTCGCGCAATGCAATGGAGTCTGAGTGAGTAGATCGTGTGAGAGTCTTTACTGTTTTATAGGCCCAGGCCCAAATATATTTAGCCCATTAGGAGAATCATAGCCTTCTAGACATGTAGGAATGTAGGATGCGATTATAAACTTATGGCATTAATGATTTTTTAAGTAAAAGATTAAAAGGTATCATTAATGATTTACATCTTTATTTTTGTGGTTTTATATAATCAAATTTTATTACAACTTACGTAAAATATCCATGAATTATGTGAGTCTTAAGAGTTTCTAAAAGTATAGTTATACAAAGTAGTTTATTTCTTCAAATTAATGATTACTATACAGTTTTTGAGACTTTTACAGCGTGATTTTATTAATTCGTATTGTAGATGGTAGCTCTGGTGACAAGTTAAACGAATAAATAGATTGTCTTGTATGTGTACATACAAAAGTCAGTTCTTGGACAGTTTAACTATGGATCTCAAATGCAGTGTGTTCATCTTAAACTTAAAGCAAATATCGACCGACGTTGGATATCGTTTGTTACATAGCATGTGACATGAGCTCACCCTAAATTAAAAAACGGGCCACGTATGCCATTACTTGCTCAATATCATTAATTCCAAATCTCAGATGCAAGTGCTACCTCGTGATTCAATTTAATTTCTCTATAGCCTCCATGACAACCAACTCAATATTAACGCTGTGTATATATACATTAATAGTAATTTTCCTTATATATACTACTACTATATATGTATAGTATGACGCAGTTAATACTTTTTCATAACTGTGAACCGGCTTAAATATATTAGAACTAGTCTTGCTAAAGAGAAAAAAATCAAAGAAAAAAAATGATGAGATCTCTTTCCCCATATATTAAAAAGGAGTTTAAAACAATTAAATAAGAACTCTTTTTTTTTTTAATCGAAATGAAGATCAATCTTGGTGTCATCATCTTCATCTTTCACCCTCCGAACTTCATATCTTGTTTATCTAAACGTTGGAGAAATGAAGTGAGGACTTTAATGGTTTTGATCTGACATTGTAGAGACATAATGTAACCAGCTGTCTCTTCGAAGAGTGCGTCCACACCAAGCGCCGTTCCTCCGGGAATTATCCTTTGCAACGCTTCAATCCTCTCTTTTACCTCTTCTTCTTCTTCTTCACTGGACACACACACGCTTGCCTTATCCTGCGAAAGTCTCCGTTTGGTTCTACGCTCAAAACCAGCAGCAGGTGATTTCACGGTGGCTGAGCAAGACGATGAAAGAGATATAGTGTTGTCAGGAGTTGCTAGAGCTTTCTCCATTGTGAGACAAAGAGAGAGAGAGAGAGGAATGATATGTGTTTGAGAGAATAATGAAGAAGTAGGGAAAGTGCATGTGTGTATGTATATTATATATATGAGGGATGATGGAATTAGTGGACAATATGAGATGGTAAGAAACTGGCTGGTTCAGTCCCACTCTTCTTTGGTTTATAAGTAATAAATGAGTTGAGTTTAGAGACAATAATACTATATCGGTTTGGTTTGATTTCTTAAGCTCCATGGAACATTTTAGTTGCAATGTTCGGTTATGAACGAATTTTCTATATTTAGTAAATGAGAAAATGGTTAATATTGCCATCAAAGCTGGTCCAGATGTACGTTTTTATATCATATAAATATGAGACTGTAAAAGATTACAAAATATCCTTTGCAACGCCTTAATCTTCTCTTGAATCGAACAAAACTATCATAAACTGTCCAGAAAATTAGTTAGACAACGACAAATCCTAATCCTAGTGAGTTGTAGTAACTAAAGAGAAAAAAAGAGACACCACGCGCGTGAAGGCAGCGGTTGAGGGATAAGAGGGAGAATGATCGGGTTCGTTCGACATGTGCATAGGAACAAGGGAGTGAAGAGTAGGGGACCTACACAGAAAGCCCAAAGAGATAGGCAAATGAGAGAGAGAGGCACATGACATGTGCTCTCACATGAAAACCTTCTTCTTTCAATGCACCATCCCCATGTGCCCCTCTTCTGTATGCATACACCGATGATGATGATGATACAGGCTGTAACTGTATGTAAAAATATACATGGATGACGGATGAGATAGATCGTGATCAAATAGATACTCTAGTAAGATATAGTGAAGTGGTTCGTACAATGTAGGATCTAATCTACTACTTTGCTCATAAGATCCACATGTATATCTATCAAGCATGGTGGCCACGTGATAATAACAAACGGTACAAAAAAACTATATCAAACTTTTCGAATAAGAGATTTGGAGTCTTTTTCTTTTCTTTTTTGTAAAAACATTCGGGTCTTAAGTAGAACAAAATAAAATATTGGCCTTGTGCCTCCTAATTTTTAAGACTTAATATAATTAAGTTGTTATTTATAAGGTAGTGACATTAAGATTGTTTTTAAAGATGAAAGTAAAGAGAGGAAAAAAGAAGCAGATGATATGTTTCCAAGTAGGGGACGAAGAAAAGGTTTGGTTTCTCGGGATTGAGATTTTAACAAAAAGAAATCGGGTTCCTTTCGCATTTCACCATCTACCTAAACTGACACTTACCCAATTCTAGTGTATCTATTTATTTATGTATCTCAGTTTTACATTAAATATGCTACAAAAATACTAACGCACTATTCAATTTTAGCTTTCTTTCTTCTCAGACAGCTTTTTCACATTCGTCTTGGAATAATCAATTCCATGTCTTTTTTGTATCTCTTTTTTTTCTTCCTCTCTATAAATTCTTCTTTAAAAAGAAAAGAGAGGTAAATATTCCTATTTAGGGGAGTTATGATGTTTATTACTAGCACCATTTTTGTTGTTGTTATAAAAAAAATGGAGATTGTGATGGGTTTTGGTTAAGACAGGACAAATATATGTTTTTCTTTCTTTCTAAAGGAGTTGAAAAAGGAGTAAACGAAGAAGTGATTACTGGGGAATAGTTTGATTTAGTTATTACATAAAACAGTTTTTATTGAGAGGGGAAGCTTTTCTATAAGGCTGGAGAAATGGGCCAAGCAGCTGGGTCCATCATGGTGGGTGCTCTCTGGGACAACGTTTACAGTTGGTTATGGTCCCACCGCAAGCATTATTTGTCTCCTTTCTCAGCCTCATTTGGTTGCAGTCGGAGTGGGTTGTATAATTTGAAATATTACATGTTTTTTATCTTACTTCTATTTTTGCTATAAGAAATTTACATTATAAAAATGATTAATAGGAGATTCTCAAGAAGGAAGAAAAAAGGCTATTAAAGGATTCATGGCTAGAGATCTTAAACAACCACCACCACCACCTAAACTCTATTCATATATGAGGAGAAACATGTATACACCAATTGTTTGGTTACAGAACAAATTATTTTATTAGTTTGTTAATACTGATTAATACTCTGATGTAGGTAAAATATATAAGGAGAAAAATGTCTCAGAAGAAAACAAGCCAACTCAGATTTTTATAAAACTAAATATATACACACACCAATTGTTTGATTTCAGATTTAATCAAGTGACAAAGGCAGCTTTCTTTGACTTTGGAAGAACAAAGTTGGTTGTCTGTCAAATGGGCTCCCACTGCCACTACCACATGCATCGGTTGTGCCATGAGACAATCATCATCATTAGCATCCACTGTCCACGCTGATACATCCTCTGTAGCCGTCGGTTCTTTTTAAACGTGAAAAAAAATCAGAACCTTCCCTGAGTCTACATGCCAGAATATAACATTTATTTATTTATCTATTGGAATTGAAAAAAAAAGAAACAATTTTTCCTTCATATTTATAGTTTTGTGTCAAAAGAGAGTTTTCTTTTCTGACAGAAGTAGAAACATACGATGTTCTGTGTGAATTGTGATCAAAGCTCGCTATAGGTGGAGACTAGTACATCTTTGACATTCCGTACCGAGCACCTCCAACTTTCCGGTGAGCAGAACCACCAGGAGCAGCTACTGCAGCCGCCGCTGCAACTCCTATTCCTACTGTCGCCTGTAACAGATTTGTATCGATTATGATCCGGTGATCGCTCATGTTTTCGGCCGCCTTGTTCATTCCGGTTCTAGCCATGACAAAGGGGTTGCTATCTATGTTGATGGTTACATCTGGTGCGTATCTATTACTCTGATGTATTTGTCTTGCCTGCTTCTCAGACTCCATGGTTGTTGTTCTCCTCTCTTGTTGCTTTCCCATGGTGACTGTTGTTGTAGACTGTTGTTGAAAAGGGAGAGTACTGCTGCGGATGAATGATCTCGGGTCATATGGATCTCTACTGCCTCTGCCATTGTCATAAGGCGCCACTGGGCCCATGAATGCGCTTGGTTTGGCAGCTGCTTGAAGAGAAGAGAGAAAGAGAGATGGTTTCCGTTTATAGAGTTTGGTTTTGGAAACATTGCTGCTGGATTCAGGATGAGTGATTAAAAGTACCTGAGAGGTTTCTTTGTTGTGCTTGTAACGTTGCATGATGATTAAGCGGAATGTTTTGAGTAGTTTCAGGTTTCAATGCGTTTGAGTTATTCGAAAATTTAGGTTGTCCTCCTCGTGCAACTGCGGTTGAGTGTACCACTGTTGATCTGAAAGCATACAGACACAGAGTCAGAGCTCAGAAAAAGATGAATATAGTGATAGAGTCTCTGATTATGTGGATGAATGTAATGTATAAACACTTATGCAAACAGTACATGACAATAGACATTACAGTAAGAAAATAAAATAAAAAATAACCTGGGAAGAGAGGCATGTTTCCTTTCAAGAGGTGCCACAGGGCCAGTTTTCCCACTGTTTTCTTCAAGATGTGCAAACTGTCTCCTAAATTGATCAACAGCACTGCACAGTATAGACAAATGTCAGGAGATTAGGTGTAACACAATGCACACTCAGAGATGCAACCACAGATGTTAAGACCTTGGATAGAGAAAATTGGTTTTATCAGCCCCGCTCAAGTGATCTTTTAACAGTTGAGGATGGTACTCAAGTATCTCCCTAGAGATTAGCTCTCTGATATCCTCTTTAGTGACTTTTCTTCTCTCGAACTCAAATTCCATCTTCGTAATGGGCTGACATGATGGCTCCCTCTCCAGTTTCGCCAATCCCTTGAAATATGGATCCGCAAGTGCCTAACGAAGCAAGTATTAGAACAAAAGCAGTTTACAGTGTCATCCAATTATAAATATGCATTGTAGATTCTCTTCTCAAGTAGAATAAAAACCTCTTCAGCAGTTGGCCGGTCTTTTGGATCAAAAGCAAGAAGCCTCTCCAACAACTTCAAAGACAAAGGATCTGCGTTTGGAAACTTCTGTGTAAAAGGAATAGGTGGCTTTTTCCTCATGCTTGTTAGGTACCTCCTAGCCTTGTCATTCCTTACCTGTTACAATATTATAAAAGCAAGGTACTCATCATTGGTCCGTGCTTTTAAGATTTTGCAGAAACTCAATACACTATGTCTAAGAAGAAGATCAGTACCCTGGAGATGGTGTCCAAGGAAGGTGTCCCTAGCAGATCAGTCATAAGATCTAGCTGGTGAACCACATTCTTTCCAGGGAAAAGTGGTCTTCCCATCAATACTTCCGCAAAAATGCAACCTATACTCCAGATATCAATTGCAGGTGTATACTACAAAAGCCAAATCCACCAAAAGTTAGCTCAAAAGTAATACAACAATTAGAAGGTGTTTGTATAGAGAACAAATGAAGCACCTTCGAGTAAAAAGATCCACAAAGCTCAGGAGCTCTATACCATCTTGTAGCAACATAGTCCTGTAAAAGATTGAAGAGTATCAGGTACTGCAACTACTCGGTAGACCAACTTTGTTTGAGAGAGGATAAAGACTCTTAGAGAGCCATCTTGTTTAACGTACTGTCCAGAAGATTGTTGTGGGGGTATCGTTGAATGCAACCCTAGCCAATCCAAAATCACAAATTTTAAGTTTACAGTTTGCATTCGCCAATATATTCTTTGGCTTCAGGTCTCGATGGTAGACATTAGCTGCAACAATCAAAATCGCATAAGATATATTACTACACATAACCAAAGTCACAAGACCAAAAGAAATTGGACTTACCTGTGTGAATGTACTTGAGTGCACGCAATAACTGATATAGGAAAAACTGGTAGTGCTCTTTTGTCAAATCATCATTGGCTTTAATAACTTGGTGAAGATCAGACTCCATAAGCTCAAACACAACGTAAATATCTTTGAACTCTCTTCTCGAAGGAGGAAGCATAATGTGCTTGATTTCAACAATATCTGGATGCCTTAGGAGCCTGAGGAGTTTAATCTCGCGAAGAATCCTCGCAGCATCTGATATATTCTCAAAGATATCATGTATTTTCTTAATGGCCACTTTCTCACCAGTAAGGGTGTCTATAGCTGAGCAAACAACTCCATAACTTCCTTTTCCGATCATTTCTTGGATTTTGAATCTGCTGGCGTCCCCATAGTCAGAAAAGAACTCCATCTCTAGATTGTTCTGTCACAGATAGCAAAAATTATGTCAGAAAACACAATTCATGAAAACACACACAATACTTCCAAAACCTTCTGACCTACAATGCCATATGAGAAACAAAGACAACCACGATTGAAACCAACTTGCAGACATCGGTTACAATAGTGACATAAGAAAACAACCAGACATAACAACGTAAAGCAGAGACTTTGTCATAAACTGGCTTTGGTAATTAAACCAATAATTTTCATAGACACAAAAAGATAGAATCGGATGCAGAAGGTTCAGATAATCTGAGCAGAGAAAGAAGGTGATCAAGGCAATTGCAAAATCCTCAAGAAATAAATAAAATTCGCTCAGACAACACATCTTGTCTTGAATTATGACATGATGAGTTGTTGTTTGACACATGTAACGTTCATCTACCCATAAACAGACCAGAATTTCCCAAAACAGCAACTTTAAGACAACAACCAAACAAACAAGATTAACCGAAACACGAACACAAATATTAATAATAAGAAAAGAAGTATTCACCTTTTTACGCTGAGGATCTCCCTGCATCATGATCGTATCAAATTCAATCTAAATTCAGGTGAACAAAACAAAACAAAAAAAAATTGATAGACGATGAAATTCGAATCAGATCAGCCGCATTGGCCCCAACGACCAAAGCTCCAAATCACGAGGCTTATGCTCTTGCAACCTTCCACCGACAGAGACAGAATCGCAGGCCAATTTCTCATTCACCTCTCAGACTCTCTCTCTCTCGATTTCTCCAAACCGAATCGAGCAAAACTGGTGAAAACTCGGCTTTGCTTTGAAGGCACGTTAGCGTCGGCAGGGAGAGAATCGAGAGGAGAGATCTGATCACCGACACACAGGGGATGATGGAGAAGGAAGGAGAGAGAGATAAGGATGGAATCTAGAGTTAGTTATATATATATAGAGAGTTATTATCCCATTATACTTATGAGTTTTAATGGTTTGGTGAGTTGCTGCTTTTCTCCCACCAAAATTAACACTATTTATCAATGTGGACATTATTGACCAAATCATTATTAGTTTATGATCTTTATTTCCATTTATTTTATCTCGTTTTTATCCAATTTTTTTTTTGCTGTTTGACTTATCTCATAAGTATATTGTTAGAGCATATTCTTTATTTTTTAGTTTTACAATTTTATTTTTAATTTTTTATTACACGTTTAGTTTTGTAAATCATTTGCTCTGTTAAATTTTATTTACTAAACATATGTTTATAAGCTTATTTATTATGTTTAATTCGATTTAATGTTTTTTTTGTGATCAAGTTACAAATTTGGATCATTTCTCAAATTAAGCTTTGTCATTTTTACATAGTTCTATTTATAGCCTCTTTCATTAATATTGGATCTCAGATGATACATAGATAACTACCTAAACAAAATTGTAAGTTATCAAAATAGTCAGTAAAGCTATGGTTGGCAGAAGAAGTATAATTAATCTAGAGATAATCTAGAGATATCAACAAAAATAAATAAATATTGATAAAAGCTAGAGATATCAACAGATTGTTTGGCAAACACATAAAGTTTGTGAACCATCTATTTTTGACAAACCACCTCCTTTCAAAATCGAATTGTGAATTTTAATCACTTGTTCGAACCGTTTGTTATAATCTCACTTCATCCGCTCTCTAATTTATAAACATAACAAGCGGTTCATGTCCAAATGTCTTCAAGTATACCAGTTTATGCCACCAGTCAGAATCATTGCAACCAATATATTTTTTTTTTTGGAACCAATAGATACAGTTTTGACTAAATGAAGAGTAATTTTTTTAAATAATATAGATTGCCATTTTAGAAAAAAGCCATGTCCAGGAATCAAAACCATCAGCTTTTTCTAAAATAATAATAAATCGAGCGAATGTAATTACACTCATCAGAGCTGGTTTGACTTTGGATTAACAACAGAGAAAGCAAAAGAGACAGGCTTATCATTAAGCGGTTTTCATACTTTTGACAACAAGTCTCTTTGTAAGAACACACGTATCAGAAGTGACGTAGCATCAAATATCAGAAGAGAAAAGTGAAGGGACACGTTCAGACACCAAACTCTATGCGTTCGTGTGCGTGTAATAGGATGGCATGGCACATTGGTCTCTCATTCTAGAATTTGTTTCTCTCCTAAATTACATAGTCATGCCACACAAGTGAGAAATACATTTTCAAGATTTTGTTGGCTTAACTAGTGCACATATACAAACCCAAGATACTAAATCTACCTTCATCATATCTCTCACAAAAATGTATGTTAGGCATACATGCAAATGGATGTTACCGGTGGAGTGTGGAAGGAAATTGCAGGAGAAATCAAGAATTGACATAACCCAAATAGCTAGTCTTTGGGCTAAGTAGCCTAATGTATAATTAGAGAACATATTATTAAACGCACAAAGCCCATGTACAAGAAAGATGTTGATGCATAGCATATAATATATTTTATTTATACTTAATATTCATAAGCTAAAACGATTACAACTAACCTAAAAATCTGAATTTCTAAATGGTACACTATTAGAAAACCGTTTACCATATAATGATATTAACCTGGTTTATCTGATATTTAAAAGAATAAAAATATGAATTTCAATCATGAATTATCAAATAACTAACTGGAAATGGGTTAAAAGTTCAATATATTGTGTAATTAATATTAACATATCAATATTTCGTGAAAAGAAAAAAAATGTTCAGGTTTTGTTATAAACAAAGTAAAATGTCAAGAAGCAAAAAAAAAAAAAAAGTCATCAAAGCTGGTTTATGTTCGTGTCAACGGTTAGCCACTTGGCGTGACGATAAACAGTTAGTATAGACTCTAATTAAGTAATTAGTAGTCTTAATTATTGTCATTAACTTCACAAATACCCTGTTTTGTTTGGTCTCTCTCTGCTTCATTCTGAGAAAATAAAAAATAAAAGTAAAAAAATTAAAAAAATTCGGTTTCTTTCTCGGTCGTTTGTGTAATTTCCCGGCAACGGAAGGAGGAAGAAGAGGAAGAGTGTAAGCAATAAACTCCTCTTCTCCTACGAAACTGAAACATACTTCTTCTCTCTCTTCTCCTCTTTGCTTCTCCGATTCTCTTCCTGTTTACTTTGATCAACTTCTCCAAACCTTTCTTCTTCTTTTTTTTTGTTTGTTCATGGTTTCCTCCATCGCAGGTAGTTCTTCTCCTTTCTCTTATTCCCTTCGTTAATATTCAACAATCGGTTGGTTTATTTATTTTTATTATTCATTTGAAGTTTGTATTCCCTTTCTCAATCTTTTTGCTATATGTAGTTGATTGTGATTGTTCTTGTATTTTTATTACTGATGATGATCTTAGACAGAACAACAACTTGCTTCTCTTGTAGTACTTGACCCTGTGTCTGAAAAAGTTCCAAGCTTTTTGGGATATTACGCAGTTTTAAGCTTTGAGTTTATTACACAGATGATTCCTGTCTCTAATCATGTTTTGTCTCTAAAGCAGCACAATTAAAAAAATTCTAAGTTGTTGTTCTTCGAGTTGACCATCTGAATAAGGTCGTCTCCTTTGAATTATCTTTCCTGTTTGGAATATTCCATCTGTCTGTTTTTAGCTTTTGTTTATGTCTGAACCAGGAAACACCATTGTGATTGAGAGCTAATGATCCTCTTAATCCTAGGAAGTAGCTCTTGTGCTTCATATATGATGCAAACTCAAAACTCAATACACAGTTTTTTTTCTTGTTTTGTTTGCAGTTGGTGGTGACGCCAAAAAGATGGAGTTAGAATCCAAGGAATCACTCTCTGCTACTGGTACCAGAACATACTTTTTTTTTGCTTTCTCTTACAATTTTTTTTGTTTGTTTTGGATATCTAATATTTTGGCTATGGCAGATTTAGACATGCCATCTTTAGTGAATAGATCATCTGAAACTTTTATTGGAGGAAGTGGAAGTGATCTGAGCATGTTCTCAAGCTCATTGCCAACACTTCTTCATGAAAAGCGTATGTTCTAGCTTCTGTTAGTGACCAGTTTTTAAACGCTTTGACTTACTTGAAGAAAGTTGCTAATATTTGTCTATTGTTTTTGACAAACTTGTAGTGAACATGACTGATTCAGATAGCTGGCTCTCACTTGATGATAACTCACCCAATCTGAACAACAAACTTGGCATAGGCAACTCAGAGAAAGATTCCTTGGAAGATGTTGAGCCTGATTCTTTGCTTCCTGAGGATGAAAATGAGCTCCTTCCTGGCCTCATTGATGAGCTTAATTTCAACGGGATGTCTGATGAGCTTGAAGATCTCGAGGAGTGTGATGTTTTCTGTAGTGGAGGAGGTATGGAGTTGGATGTTGAGTCCCAAGAGAATCAGGCTGTTGATGCGTCAGGGAAGCAGATATCTGCTGGAAATGCATTTGGTCCTCGTAAACGCTCCAATACATCTGGCAGAGTTTCAGTAGAACATCCGAATGGTGAGCATCCTTCAAGGACATTGTTTGTAAGGAACATCAACAGCAGTGTCGAGGATTCAGAGTTAAGCGCTCTCTTTGAGGTATGTGAAATGTCTCTCTGCTTCCTCATATGGTTAAGTCTTTCTTTCTCTTGCTGACGTGGTTTCTATTTTTGTCACCAGCCGTTTGGGGAGATCAGGAGTTTGTACACTGCATGCAAAAGCAGGGGTTTTGTAATGATATCCTACTATGACATCCGAGCTGCTCATGCTGCAATGCGTGCACTACAGAACACGCTCTTAAGAAAGAGGACATTGGACATTCACTTCTCCATTCCTAAAGTATGAGCTCTGAGAGATATATTCTGGATTTAAAGTTTCAGCTTTCTTTAAGGACTTTTGTAATCATTTTTTTCACTTATGACTTGATAGGAAAATCCGTCAGAGAAGGATATGAACCAAGGAACTCTTGTGATATTTAATGTGGACACAACAGTATCAAATGATGAGCTCCTAAAGCTGTTCAGTGCCCATGGTGAAATTAGAGAGGTAGATTTTTGTTTGCTTGTGCCTTCAAATGTGCCTTCTTATTAATTCTTGACTTGTAAAAGCAGATTAGAGAGACACCAAACAGGAGATTCCACAGGTTCATTGAGTACTATGATGTTAGAGATGCAGAGACAGCCTTAAAAGCACTGGACAGAAGCGAGATAGGTGGTAAATGTATAAAGCTCGAACTTAGCCGTCCTGGAGGAGCACGTCGAGTCTCAACAAGTCAAGATTTGGACAGAAACGAAGTTACAAATTTCTTCAGTCAAGTAGCTAATTCTCCACCAAGTAAATCTCATACTGATAATTTCTTATACTTTTTTTGTCTTTCTCTCCCACTGGTTAGAGAGTATTCAGTCATCTATTTAGCAGGTAACTGGCCAGTTGGCAGTCCTGTGAAGGGCTCTCCTTCTCATGCCTTTCCAAGGCCACATGGTCTAGGTATGGCCATGCCATATAACTCAGATAATATGCCTGGATTGGCTTCAATTCTCCCTGGCCAGCCTTCTCGCTACCAAGGGCTATTAAACCATCCAAACCAAACTATTCTGAAGAAGGGATTGATGCACAACGTTGCCTATGGGCAACCTCATTCGTTGCCAGATCATATAGGAGGTGGAATTTCCAACTCCATGAGGTTTATAGCTCCACACTCTTCAGGATTTGGGACTTCTTCTGATAACCGCTATCGCTGGGGAAGCCCTCCTCAGCAAATGAACTATCCTGGCTACACTGGTGCCTCTTCATCATCATTTAATGAACGTCCTTTTGCTGGTTTTCCATTTTCTGAGAGGCAAGGTTCATTACTTGGGAAGTACCAACATCATGTTGGCTCTGCTCCTTCAAGTAGTCATTTTAATACCCATATGAATCGCTACATAGGATCACCAGAGACGTCTTCTCTGTTACCTCATGGATTTGGTGATATGGGTGTTAACAAAAGCTATATCAATGCTCATGGAAAAGCCAACCTTGGTGTGAACTTCACTGGCTTTGGCTCAGTACCTTTTGGTGGGAGTAGAGGATTACAATCAGTAAGACATGAACCTTTTGAGACTCAACTCACAGATGGTGGGAGGTATCATATTGACTTGGATAAAATTGCTACTGGAGATGATACTCGGACTACATTAATCATTAAAAACATCCCAAACAAGTAAGCCTTTTATTGATCTCAGTCTAAATCTTTTTGCAATGTTTACAACTCTCAAATGATTTTGTTTTGTAAGGTATACTTACAAGATGCTAGTGGCTGAGATTGACGAGAAGCACAAAGGAGACTATGACTTTCTTTGCTTACCTATAGAATTTAAGGTATAGAAGAGTGAACTCATGATGCTCTTGTAATCACTTGAGAACGTACTGATGATCTTACATTTCTTGTGGATGCAGAATAAGTGCAACATGGGTTACGCTTTTGTGAACATGGTTTCTCCATTGCACATTGTTCCCTTCCAACAGGTTTTTTCTAACTTTTTCTGTTCATTACTGCTTTAGGAAACTGCTTCTTGCCTAATGCTTTTTTTTCTGGCTGTTTCTGCAGACCTTCAATGGTAAAGTGTGGGAGAACTTCAACAGTGGGAAAGTTGCTTCACTAGCATATGCAGAGATCCAAGGAAAGTCTGCACTTGCTACATACATGCAGAAGAATCCAAGTCCTATGAAAGACGAGAAGCAATTATTTCCACAAGTTTCCCACCATAATGATGATGGTCAAGACTCTAATGATCAGGTAAGTCTATTAAAATCCAGAATCTTGGTTTGTGTCCATTGATTTCACCTCGTATCTATGGATCATTACAGGAACAACCTTTTTCAAGCATTTGGAACATAACAACGCATGATCCAGATTGGTCTTACAAGAATTATAAGAACGTTAACTCCAAGAACATTGTAGAAGAAGAGTCTTCTTAAACCTATCTACTAAAACCAGCCAGTAGCTGAGAACCCTAACCCACCTTCAAAGGTAAAGTGTACAGATCTGGAGATGATAATGGAAGAAACACGTGTACAGTATCAAAGTCTTGTTTCTCCTCGGTTCTTAGGGATTATTACATCACACGGAAACATCCCTTTTTAGTACATTATGTTAATTATTTGGAAACTTCTCTGTCAGTAATGTGTATATATATAACATCCTCCTGTCCATGTGAACGACATGATCTGTGTACTTAGTTGTTTCATTATAACAGACTCGTTATAAGTCTCTGTCTCAATTACTTTCCATTATAAAACCGTTACACATCTCTCTCACTCTATGGCTTCAATGGCGGATCAGGCTCTTCTTCAACCTTTCCTAGCCAAACCCGCCACCAAAGACTCAGATTCAGGTATATTTCTACGGATTTTCTCTTTACTTCTCGTCGGAGCAATCTCCTTGTGGGCGAACCACGAGGCATCAAAAGGTTTCACCATAACAATCATCAATGAAGCGAAAGAAACTCCTTCAGGGAAAAGATTCTCTCTTTTCTTCGAGTCTGATGATACTGCGGTGAGAGTCTTGATCGAGACGAGTTTCTCTGTGGAGAGATTGCTCTACGAGGGTGTTCCTCATCGTCTCCGGAAGCCTGTGAACCACGTTACCGTACGTTTCTACGGAAACAGAAGTGATGGAGTAGAGAGATTCACGGTAACTTCTAATGCAAGTCATGGAGAGTATGTGATCAGATTAAGCTCATCTCTAATGAAAACAAGTGAGTTTCGAAACGCTGTGAAAGCAGCATTGAGAAGATCTATGATTAGGATTTGGCTATGGGGAGAGGAGTCAGGGGCTTCACCGGAGCTTGTGGCCGGGTTAGTGGAGTATTTGGCCGTGGAGGGTGTAGAACGTCGTCGTTTAGATGAGTTAGGTGTGTATCCAAAGGATAAGGAGTCTGTGTATGTGGTGGCTAGGTGGTTGGATTACTGTGAAAGACGTAGCGAGGGTTTCATCAGAAGGCTGAACCATGGGATGAGACTTAGGTGGGATGATCAGACGGTTGATCTCGCTTCGAATGGTGCGTGTGGCTCACGCAAGGGTGTGTTGCGTGAGCCAGAGGACAAAGACAGTGGATTTAATCATTGAGACACGAACATGATTGGTTCTTGTGCTGTCTTATTGGAGCACACATGGCTCCACGTGTAATTAAATTATTCAGTGTATATAAATTCAACAATTTTTGTGGAATTACTTGTTTCTCGGATAAATAAAAGATTTATATGTTTGGTTTGTTAATTGCCAGAGTCCAGTTCCGGTTTGATGTTACACTTTTCTAAAATGGGCTAAGGCCCTGTCCAACACAACAATGCTTTCTAAACTTGAACAGAGATTTTTAAGAAGATTGCAATCCCAGCACACTAATCCAATTTTAAATGACAGTATAAGTTACTGCCACACTCACAAATCACACTAATCAAAATGTTAATTTTGAACTGCAATATAATCAAGGTTTTAAGCAGGATGAACTATGTCAAAACTTGGATTGGATATCTTTGTTACTTAAAGTTAACCAATTTATTCAGTTCAGATCAATTTTATAGAAAAGTTAACCAATTTATTCTAGTCAAACTTTCTGAAAATAAAATACATTTTCCCTAAGTAGGGTTAATGCCGTTTAACAAGTTATACGGTATCTTATTGACAGACTAGCGAAATTATATGAAAATAAAGGTTTTAATGATTCTTTTCATATAATGATGACAAAAGAAAAATGATTCTTTTCTTTTTTTTGGTCAAGCTGATTCTTTTCATATATGTAAGATTTAATTTGGTAAGTCAAGTGGCGTATTTTACCCGGATAAAACTGGACCCAAAAACATAAAATATTGTGGAAAACAAGGGCTTTTGGAGAAAAAGCTTTTAAACCCTTTTTTGGTGTATCAGATTCCGTAGCAAACAAAAGACATTCAGACACTTCTTCTTTCACTCGGCGAATCAATGTCTGAGAACGCAGCCAACAACAACAACATCATCATGGAGAAGAACCAGATTTGTAAAGACGCCATCGTCTCTGAACTACAGAAGAAGAAAGTTCATCTCTTTTACTGCTTAGAGTGTGAAGAACTCGCTCGCAACATCGCCGCCGAATCTGACCACATCACTCTTCAATCCATTAACTGGAGGTTAAACCTTCCCTCTTTCNTGAGAACGCAGCCAACAACAACAACATCATCATGGAGAAGAACCAGATTTGTAAAGACGCCATCGTCTCTGAACTACAGAAGAAGAAAGTTCATCTCTTTTACTGCTTAGAGTGTGAAGAACTCGCTCGCAACATCGCCGCCGAATCTGACCACATCACTCTTCAATCCATTAACTGGAGGTTAAACCTTCCCTCTTTCTCCCCCATTCAATAAAGTTAATATCTTTTGTGACTTTAGGTTAAGTAAAAATCATAACTTTATTGTGAAACTTTGATTCACTCTGCCCAAAAAAAAATCATTACTTTATTGTGTGGAAAGGCTTTAAAGTATTCAAAGCTCTCTGCTTTAGGGTTTTGTTCATTGGTTTTAAGTTTTGGTTTCAGGAGTTTTGCTGATGGATTCCCGAATCTGTTTATCAACAACGCACATGAAATCAGAGGCCAACACGTGGCGTTCCTCGCTTCATTCAGCTCTCCTGCGGTTATCTTTGAGCAGATCTCTGTCATTTACTTGCTCCCTCGCTTGTTTGTTGCCTCCTTCACTTTGGTGTTGCCTTTCTTCCCAACTGGCTCCTTTGAGAGGATGGAGGAGGAAGGAGATGTAGCTACTGCTTTCACCATGGCTAGGATTGTGTCCAACATTCCTATTTCACGTGGTGGTCCGACTAGTGTTGTCATCTATGACATTCACGCTCTTCAGGTATGGTTACTAGTACTTTCCTCTGACTTGTAAGTGTTTATTCATCGTTATCTCTTATCTGGTCCTGTCTTGTGTGTGTTTGCAGGAAAGGTTTTATTTTGCTGATCAGGTTCTTCCTTTGTTTGAGACTGGGATCCCTTTGTTGACGAAACGTCTTCAACAACTTTCTGACACTGAGAATGTTAGTTCATTAGCTGAGATGATAAATGATGTGTACAATGCAAGTAAGAAAGTTTGATTTTGGTTCCTTTTTTTCTGTTTGCAGATCATAGTTGCGTTTCCGGATGATGGAGCCTGGAAGCGTTTCCACAAGCTGTTGGATCACTACCCCACGGTTTGTTATCAATCTTCAACTTTATGAGCAACACAATACCTTAATAATGAGACTTAATGTTGAATCATAATGCAGGTGGTGTGCACAAAAGTTCGTGAAGGCGATAAGAGAATAGTTAGGCTTAAGGAAGGTAACCCTTCTGGTTGCCACGTTGTCATCGTTGATGATCTTGTGCAGTCTGGTGGTACACTCATTGAGTGTCAGGTATATTCATGAACTACAGCCTAGCTATCACTATCTTCAAGGCTGAGCTTAAAACTTTTGTATTCACTTCTTTTTATTTGTTTTTACACAGAAAGTATTGGCAGCTCATGGAGCAGCGAAGGTGAGTGCTTATGTAACTCACGGTGTCTTTCCTAATAGCTCCTGGGAGCGTTTCACTCACAAGAACAACGGTAACTACTGACTTTCTCAATTGTTCATCTCTCTCTCTCTTCTTCTATCCTTAAAACTGATAGCCTAAACTCTTCTTTTTGTTGTTTTTGTCTCAAAATCAGGACTAGAAGAAGCGTTTGCTTACTTCTGGATCACAGATTCTTGTCCACAGACGGTTAAGGCCATAGGAAACAAAGCTCCTTTCGAAGTCTTGAGCCTCGCGGGATCCATCGCTGATGCTCTACAGATTTGAAACAAATAGAAGATAAAAGCCTGCTCTCTGCTCTGTCTTGTTGCCTTAATGTTGTACTATTAAGAGATGATCAGTTTATGAAATAATCATATATCACTTTCCTGAAACTTATTAAACCTTGTACACTGTTCTTGACTTCTTGTTTAATTGATCAAAGCTTTGTTCATTTACCAATTTTGAAGATTTTGAAAATGCTAAAATTTGTTGATCTAAGAGAGACAATACTATTTTGCTCAACAATCTGCTGTTTTGTGCATTTTAATGTGAACTGCGCGCCGTTTTTGCTACACTTAACACCATGATGTTGCATCCATTTTAGTCGAAACTCTTCACATGCAACTAACTAAATTGTCAAGTTTACAAAAATGAGACAAGCACACGTGAAAGTGCCTTGCCTTGTTACACACGTGTGTAATCTCTTTTTAAAAAGATAAGTTGTTTTTCCTCTCTCCACAAAGTTCCCACCTTTAAAAATGATTCCGACAATCTCACACTTCTCCCGCGCGACGATTCCGACAACAGCCACCGTCCCCGACAACAACAACAACAACTCCTACCTCCAATTAATAGACACACATTGCAAAACGATGAGAGACCTCAAACAAATCCACGCAAACCTAATCAAAACCGGATTAATCTCCGACACCCTCGCCGCGAGCCGCGTCCTCGCCTTCTCCTGCGCCTCCACGTCATCAGACATCAACCACGCGTACTCCCTCTTCACAAGGATCAACCGCAAGAACCAATTCGTATGGAACACAATGATCCGCGCCTTCTCCAAAACCTCGTTTCCAGAGATGTCGATTTCGCTTCTCATCGACATGTTGTTGTCTTCTTCTGTGAAGCCTGGGAGATTGACTTACCCTTCTGTGTTCAAGGCTTACGCGAGTCTAGGAAAGGCACGTGACGGGAGGCAGTTGCACGTGAGGGTTATTAAAGAAGGGATTAAAGATGATGTCTTTATAAGGAACACTGTGTTGTATATGTATGTGAGTTGTGGGTGTTTTGAGGAAGCTTGGAGGGTTTTTGAAGAGATGGTTGAGTTTGATGTTGTTGCTTGGAACTCTATGATTATGGGTTTGGGGAGATTTGGGTTGGTTGATGATGCGCGGGAGTTGTTCGATGAAATGCCGCAGAGGAATGAGGTTTCTTGGAATTCGATGATTAGTGGGTTTGTGAGGAATAATAGGTTTAAGGATGCGTTGAGGGTTTTTGGAGAGATGGAGAAGGAGAGAGGTGTGAAGCCTGATGGGTTTACGATGGTGAGTTTGTTGAATGCTTGTGGTTGTCTTGGGGGGAGTGAGCAAGGGAGATGGGTACATGAGTATATAGTGAAGAATGGGTTTGAGTTGAATGGTGTGGTTGTTACTGCGATTATAGATATGTATTGTAAGTGTGGGTGTGTTGAGGAAGGTTTGAAGGTGTTTGAGGAGGCTCGTGAGAAGCAGTTATCGTGTTGGAACTCGATGATTCTTGGTTTAGCTAATAATGGGTACGTGGAAAGAGCTATGGGTTTGTTTTTGGAGTTGGAGCGTTCTGGATTGGAGCCAGATTCTGTTAGTTTCCTTGGTGTTTTAACAGCTTGTGTTTACTCTGGGAAAGTACATGAAGGTGTCGAGNGGTGTTTGAGGAGGCTCGTGAGAAGCAGTTATCGTGTTGGAACTCGATGATTCTTGGTTTAGCTAATAATGGGTACGTGGAAAGAGCTATGGGTTTGTTTTTGGAGTTGGAGCGTTCTGGATTGGAGCCAGATTCTGTTAGTTTCCTTGGTGTTTTAACAGCTTGTGTTTACTCTGGGAAAGTACATGAAGGTGTCGAGTTTTTTAGATTGATGAGAGAGAAGTATTTTATTGAGCCGTCGATAAAACACTACACTTGCATGGTTAATGTGCTGGGTGGAGCGGGGCTTCTAGAGGAAGCAGAGGCAATGATAAAGAACATGCCGGTGGAAGAAGACGCTATTATATGGACTTCTTTGCTTTCTGCTTGCAGGAAAAACGGTAACGTTGAGATGGCTGAGCGAGCAGCAAAATGTTTGAAGAAGCTGGATCCTGATGAAACTTGTGGTTATGTGCTCATGTCTAATGCTTATGCTTCTTTTGGGTTGTTCGAAGAGGCGGTTGAACAGAGGGTTTTGATGAAGGAAAGAAAAATGGAGAAGGAAATAGGGTGTAGTTCGATTGAAGTAGATTTCGAAGTTCATGAGTTTGTTTCTTCCGGGAAAAGACACCCTAAATCCTCTGAGATTTACAGATTACTAGATGTTTTGAACTGGGATGCCTCTGCATTAAAATCAGAAGTAGGCTACTACTCAATTTGCTGAACAACTTTGTCATTTAAAGACACTTAGGTAATGGTTATTACTGATTTGTTATTATGCAATCAGTCATCATTTAGATATTAGATAATCATTTAGGTGATAGGCGTTCTAACGTATTCACTTGCTCATGAAGTACCCAATTAGAAATATGCGAAAACACCAGCTTGTATGACTCTTCACATGTTCTGCTTTGTATTCTTATTAGTGTAGAACATTCACTAGGGAACAAAGATAAAAACACTAGGGAACAAAGATAAAAACACAGTAATATTTTTTGTATTATTACTTATGTTTTTGTTTCTTCTTTTTTACTGTTGCAGGTACAAACTACAGAGAAAGATTACTTTCAGTTCTTTCACCAAACTCATGGTTTGATCTTTGATTCCAAAGTAAATTAGATAGTAAAACTATATGGTACTTTGATATGATGAACCAGGGAGATAAGATAGGTCATATTAAGGTTTGGACATGGCACGCTGCGCAGCTCCCCAAGAGTAAATATCAGAACCTGAGTTTCCATTAGTGAGTAGGTTCTGAGGCAGTCCATGAATGTCATCTAGGGGACGGGATCTTCCATTCTGGTAGTATTGCTGGTTCTGCATAGAAGCAGCTTCATCATCATCCAGAGGAAGACGATCAAACACAGCGTTCATGAAAGATGCAGCCATGAGAACAACAGGACCAGATGCAATTAGCCCACCAACCACTCCTCCACCAACAACCTGTCCTTGAGGGCCGGCTAAGTAAATGGTCAAACCAGTGATCCCAAGCGGTGCTGGAGGAGGCAAGATTGATCCAAGCAATGAGAGGATCTCGAAACGTCCGTGTAATGTCACAATACCTCCTGATGAAGCTGGCTGCCTTAATGTCACATTGGTGACGCAACCATTAGCGCTTAGTATGCAGAGACCTCTCTGCTTCTTCCTTGCGTAATCTGATAAAGTCTCACAGATGTCATTACCCGAGCTGATCTCAACGGCATGAGCTCTGAGAGAATTGGGACTGTCGTGAGTCACAATGATTGGTGGTTTGGGTTTGTTCTTGGAGCCAGCTGGTCTACCTCTTGGCCTCTTAGCCATCTCTCCTTCGATTGATGAAACTGGTTGGACCGCTTTGGGTAATGTTTTCATGTTGTTGTTGTTGTTGCCTCTCTCTGCTACTGCTTCATGGTTCCTCAATGGGAGTACTGACTTAGATCCTACAGAGGTTGGAGTCAAAGCTGCACCTCCAGCCATTGTTATCAAATTTCAACTGAGACTTTGTGAAGAGTTTATGGGTTTAAGTAAGGAGATTATGGTGAATTATTATATGTTAAGAGACACCAAAAGAATGAATGTGAAGAGTAGGAGATGGTTAAGTTGTCATCAAAATTGTGATTAATAATTAACAAATCAAGTTTCTGGCAGCCTACTTCTCAACAGATGATTCATGATAATTGTCTTCTTAAACAGAGTAATAATGTTTATAAACATCTTGTAACTATTTACAACCTACTTTGATAGGATTGCAGAGTTTATAGATATTTTTTTCTGTAGATTCAGCTGGGGCCACGTGATAGGAACGTGTCAAAGAGTCAATTTCAACTTTTTATAATGATTATTGATTGAAAGTGAGAATCATAAAAACAATACGACAAATGCGACCCAATATTTGATAGAATAATGCAACAAAAGCTAAGTGGTCTCTGTGGACGTTTAGACTATTCTATTACTGTATTGAGGGGGCTTAAAGTTTAGCTAGCCACTAAATTTGAACTTAGTTTTGTCGCTTTGCTCTGTCCTTGTGCTCTGACTCGACTTACGCCACAAATCTATGAATTGATAGTTTTATCTCTCTCTCTTACGTCATAGCTGTCATCATAGGAACATTGAACACATGTCTTGACTGACACAAAAAGATCCGTACAAACAAGACATGAATACTTTTATCAAGAAAAAAACAACAAAATGCCTCCAGAGATTGCAGCACTCCATACTCGACATGCTCTTTTTGATCATCATCAGAGTGGTTTAATCATTGCCATGTCTCCACAAGAACCAAACGTTATGTCGATCGATGAATCAATATGTTAGGAGAAACAAAGCATTTCAAGACTTGAAGAAGCTTCTTCAGAGCCGGGTGTAATAGCTATTTCTTATTTACAGGTCTTCTCAGGCTTTTGTAATGTGAGTCTCTGTGCCACTAGGAGTAAGAGATTCGTCTTTGGTCTCAACAATCTCTATGCTTGCGGTTCTACTCCTTCTGTTCCTTCTTTCCTGCCAAGTATAGTTTGATTATTAATAAAATGCGAAAACATGTATACTATTTGTTGCATATTTCTATCAACATCACTCGAGTAATAAAAGATTTATACCTGGCCAAAAGGGTGTTCCTCAGATTCAAGCATCCGCACAACCTGACTCATTCTAGGACGTTTCTCTGCTTCAGGATCAACACATCTAAGCGAAACCAAAAGTGCACGTTTCAGAGCACTTTTACTCGGTCTAGGTTCAAGTCTAGGATCAACAACTTCTTCAGCTCTTCTTGTTCCAACCATCATCTTTAGCCATTCAACAAGATTTACCTGCCAATAGACAAAACTCAAATCAATATTTTTAAAAATAACATAAGCAAAACCAATTATCTAAGCTTCACCTCATTAGCAGGACGTCCATAATCAACAGGATCTCGTCCAGTTACAGCTTCAAGAAGCAAAACACCAAAGCTATATATATCACTCTTTTCGTTTAAGAGACCTGAGTTAGCATATTCTGGCGCTACATATCTGAAACAATAACAAAGAATACAACAATTATTTCTTCTGTAAGGACATTAATAATTATCCATTATGGCCTCAAGAGGGTACACAGTTTTGGACATTACCCAAAGGTTCCCATGACTCTGGTAGTGATGTGACTTTCACCAGCGTCCAAGAGCTTGGCTAACCCAAAGTCAGAGAGCTTTGCATTAAACTCATCATCAATTAATATATTGCTTGCTTTTATATCTCTATGGACCACTTTTGGTTCTATTGCTTCATGTAAATAAGCAAGCCTGTAAAGTTGTACAAAATTACAGACCACTTTAATAATTAAGCAATTCAAAATATCCAATAAAGCATAAACTGCTTTAACCCACTTACGCTTGTGCAGTGCCGACAAGAATTTTCATCCTTGCCTCCCAAGTGAGATTTCCATGTTGCCTCATAGCTCCATGTAACCATTGCTCTAAGTTACCACTATTCACATACTCATAAACAAGCATCCTGTTTTCATAACCATAATTAGAATACAGTAAAGATCATTCTCATCCGGTTAATGTTAAAAATGATAAAAACACAAGTGAGCCTCACCGATGAACTCCCTCAATGCAATATCCTAAAAGCCTAACGAGATTCTTGTGACGTACATGGCCAATAGCGTCAACTTCTACCCGGAACTCCTTCTCAGCTTGCCCTCTACAAACATGAGATTATTAAGGAAACAAAGCATATGATTCACAAAAACATTTTGCATTCCAACTGAAAACTTACAGATTGTTAAAAAGCTTCTTCACAGCAACATCAGTACCATTGGCGAGTTTACCCTTATAAACCACACCATAACCACCTTCTCCAATCACATTCTCTGCAGAGAAACGGTCTGTAGCTAGCTCAAGATCCCTAAGAGTAAACCAATGTCCCCAACCAAGATGAGATATCTCTGGTAAACCAACCAAAGGAGATGCTGTTACAAGCCCTCCTCCGTACTGTCTCCCAACACTCCCAAAGCCTGCTTCATCACCCGAATGAGAACTACAAGCTCTCTCATGGTGGTTCACAGAGCTACATCGACTCAGAGTATCATTATCACTAGACTTGGTTCTTGCCAAGTGAGACATCATGGTTCTGCCAGTGGACTTGTCATTCATTGCTATATATAAACTCTCAGGCTGAGGATTGTGACTCTGAAACCCAGCCCTATCAACTCTGATATCTTTAGACACGTGTGGTATTTGGTTGAAAGATCTTCTGGATTTCCGGCGGAATGTGATCCATAGAGACAAGATACAGAGAATCATAACTATGAACACTCCAACAACTAAACAAACCCATACCCATAACTTCAAACCCTTCAGACCAAAGAATGATATCTTCTTGGACATTTCAGCGTTTAAAGAACTCTCAGATGCCATTATCTACTTGCCAAAACCGTCTCTTTTTTGCTTCTCTTACAACTTCAATATAACAACCACCTAAACAACAACAACAACAGAGTGTCTCAGATTTAAACAGTAAATAAAAACGCAAACTTTCATGGTAACTTCACAGGAACAGTAAATAAAAAACGCAAACTTTCATGGTAATTTTCAGTAACTGAATTGCGGCATATCAACAAACATGTTATGCGCATTACGTGTCCCCACCAAAGATATAAACTTTTGAAACCAGAGAAAAAAACATCACTTAAGTTTGAAGCAAGAGACAAATTTGCAGAGAAGCAAACAGATAATGTTACTAAATGAAAACATTCAGGTAAGAAAAAAAAGAAACTTTTTTTTCTCTTCTCATGAAACAAAAGAAGAGAGCATAAACCTTACCTTAGAATGTGGGGTTGCCCTTTTGATTTATCTTATAACAGAAGAAACAATGGTAACAACAACAAAAAGGCTCCATTTTTATTTCCCCTTTTGTGAAGCAAAGCAGAGCAAAATCCAAAAGAAGAAAAAAATAAAACAGAGTATCTCAAAGAAGTGTATATATAAAATACAGAGTGATGGGTTAATGGAGGAAAAAAAAAGTTTAGTGGAAATGGTTGGTGGGTCTGTAGTATAAAGCTGGAAAGAAAGCTTTGTTTGCAATGGAGGAAACAAGAGAGAGAGATAGAGAGAGTAGTGAGCAGTATAGTGGATTTGTCAACTATGACATTTATAGCTGTTTGAAATATTAACAAGATATTTTACATTTCTAAAATTATCATTTTTAAAAATTATATATTAGAGATAGGGGGGCAAAGCACAGAAGATGGAATTCCCAAAACACATGCTATGGAATTTTAGGTCCATATTATTCTCACTCTTCAGTATGTCTACCTTTTTTCTTCCTTTCACATATCAATTTTGGATTCTACCAATGTTCAATATTAATATTACTTTTGTTTACTTCAATGATGTTTCAAAAAATAGCTAGTTTTCCTTTTTAACATGCTTTAGAGAATTATATTTGTGATTTATGGATCTAGAAAATTTTATTTTATTTTTTTGGGGAATGTTACAACTCATAAGTAAAGAAACCAATGTGCCTTTCTTGAAGATAATGAATCCATGAGAGGTGATAATAGATTAAAGAAAAAGCCTGTGATGGAGGCTTTATTTGAAGCATAACTTTTGGATAAAGTTTTATATTTCTCTTTTTGCCAAAATAAAATAAAATCTTATCACCTTTTCTAAATGGTTATATAATTTTTAAATGGATGTTTGTGACATGGTGACTTACCGTGAGTCCATAAGTATTATTTTAAAAAGTTGCACTTGCATTTTGGTCGAGGTCTCATTGGTCGATGGTGGGTGGGGTTTACAGGCAATGTCCAGGTTTTTTTGCAGAGGAAAGAATGGCCGTTTTCCTGAGTATTGTTGCTGCCGCCATGTGATCACGTTCTCCTCACGTGTCTTACACCTCCTTTGAGCTAGATTCTTCCTCAGTATTATTCTCCCAAGTTTTGTGATTCATCATAATCTATTACATTACTTGTGACTTTTCTTAAGGAATTGTGATGGAAAGTGAAAAAACAATGATTACTTGATCAATTAAAAATACATTCAACATATAGTTTTCCCATGTGTGTAACTCTTATGCTATTATTGATCCTCATTTGTGAACTTCTTTTCCCACAACCATGGTGATATACATAATGAATTCATATGGGTTTTTGTAAGTTGACAAGTGTCATTTGAATTTGATCAGAAAATCAAAATACTCCAACTCTAATATAAGAAAAGAAAGGAAAAAGACAACTCTCTTCAGCCATTCTTAATAGTTGATCAATGGATTCCATTGGTCTTAGTTGTAGTTAATTAAGTGACCATTTGTCACCATTCTGTCTTAGCTGTTGGATTTTGAAGTAGAAAAAAATTGTCGATGGAGAAGGTTATATACTGATTGTGTCTTGATCTGGTACTTAGATCAGAGTTTAGTTAATGTTACATTAAAGTTATTACTAACAAATTTGATAAACAAACATGACTCCATGGCCCAATGGATAAGGCGCTGGTCTACGAAACCAGAGACTCTGGGTTCGATCCCCAGTGGAGTCGGTTTACTTTTTTTTTATTTTATAAATTGCATAACCAAACCGAACTATTTATACCACAATCAACAGGATTTGCTTGTAATCGCAAATGAAAATGAAGTCTTGCTTCTACTTGTATGAATGAAATACAATAGGATCTTCATATGTTACCTTTTGTGTACAGTTTATTTATGTGTATAAATCAATCTACAAGAACTTAGGTCACATATCTGCACATTTTGTGGGTGCAAACCCTAACCTAGACCTCTCTGTATCATATAGTATATGAAAATTCTGTTGCTGGTAGTTACCGATGATGGACATGGAGGCTTCAGGAGTTCCTAGAATCGCCAAGCAAACCACTTCTTCACTCAACCAAATGAAGACATTCTCTGCAGGGAAGCTCCAAACTCCTCCATCTGCGAACGCAATCCCGAGCTCAGGCAGCTCCATCTTGCTCTCCTCTACACCAGAGACATTGAAGCAAGGATCTAGGATAGGAAAGTCTTCAAACACATGGTACTTCTCTTTCACTTTCTCTGTAATCTTGTTCTTGATGATCTTGTTAGCTGGTTCGGTGAAGTAGCTCAAGGTTGTACCTGAATCAATGATGGTTCCACCAGCTCCATCTGATGAGATTCTCCATGTTTCTTCAGGTATGTCAAGAGCTTGGCCATTGACTAGAATGGATTTGATCTGTAGATAGTAAAATGTCTCCAGAGAAGTTTCCTTGCCGTGCACGAAAGATGTGAAGTTCAGATTAGGGTTGGTTAACAAACCCTTGTCTTCTCCGAAGATTAACTTGCTGCTTACGTTAGTGTCACTGTTTCTGTCTACAAGGCAATAAGAAAAGGAATGACCGTAGAGAGACTGAAGCTGAGAAGAAAACGAAAGAGGTCCTCTTCCTAACCCTAGCAGACCTGAAGCACCGTTAAAGAGACCTCTGTTCCAATGTCCACACCCGAACATCATGTCTTCCACCTTGTACTCTGAGCTTCCTCCTTTAGCATCCGTTAGATTAACGGTGAAGGTCTCAACCGCGAAGTCTCCAGTTGTGTTTGATCTGTCTCCATACCAGTAGAAATAAGGGCAGGACTGGTTACTTGATTCACACGGTACTGAAGGATCAGGTGATGAGATGAGGGTGCATCTAGGGTCTTTGCATGTTATGTTCTTGAATGAAGCAGACGCTCTAGGATCATAAAACGCACCGTGTTGGTGGAAACAGTCGTAGCAAGGAAGGCACTGGAGCCAGTTTAGGTCACTTCCTGTGTCAAGAATCAATGAGAAGTGTTTTGGTGGTGTCCCCACAAGCACGTCCATGAAGTATTCACCAGAACCAAGCGTCATACCGGACTCAAGTGTCGCCACTAGCTGCCCCGGTGATGCCTCTGGAGCAGTAACCTGAGAATATATAACCTTCTTGTGTTTCTGGTGGTTCTTTGCTTTCTTAGCTCTTGCGTGAAGCGTCTGGATTCTTGTGAGGTCTTGGAGTTTGAGATCGTGAACTGAATGTGTTTTTCTCTTTGATTCTTGTTTAATCTCCCGGCGCTGTAGCTGAAGCTTCACGGATTCTTTGGTATGATCATGTTTAGTGGAGGAGAAGCCACAATCATTGCTTGTGGAAGAAGAAACCTGCATCGAATCTTGGAAACTAAAGCCGTAGAGGGATGATGAGTTATGCTCATGTTTCTTGGAGAGAGCTCTACAGTCACCAGAAAATGGTGTGACGGTGAAGATAATTAGACCAAGAATTAAGCTTAGTTTGGTCGACATTAAGCTGCTGAGATTTTGGATAAAACTTAAAGATAAAAAGAAATAATAAAAGAAAAGCTTAGTAATCTCTAGGGGAGACCTATGAGTTATCTGAGTTATAGCCTTTAAAGAGGAGCTAACATAGAAGAAGGGAAAGGGAAGTAAAAGATTTGGTGAAAGTCAATGAACAAAGTTAACTATATTTAAAAATCAATATTCAATCGATATATATCTCCCAACTAAATAAGTTAGATATACATTAGCAGAAAATGTTTTTAGAAACGAGTTAGGGAGAATATTGTAAGTGGTCTTCAATAAGACTGGTTCAAATAAATGGAATTTTAAAGACATTTTCAATATTATTTTATTTGAATTACGGGAATTACTAAATTCTATGTTTACAAATCTGTAATATTTACAATTTAGAGGTCAAAATTTCATCACTAAGTTATGTTGCGGGAGATCAGGATTGTTGTTGTTGATGTGATCAACATGATATATAGTTAGAGCATCTCCAACCGTGATATAGGAGTCAGTAAGAAAAAAGATATTTCAGATTTAGTAAAGATATTTCAATTTTTAAAAAAAAAAATAATAATAAAAGATGATCATTTGCGAGTTGCTACGTGTCCTGGAGAACCGCAAATAGTGTAAAGATTTACTAAGAAACAGTTCTTATTTAAAGATTTTAAAAATCGATTTCTTAACTTTTTGTAAGATCCGCTGATTATTTAATTATTTTTCGTAATAACTATTTCCTAAGGATTCCCGTTGGAGATGCTCTTACGTATTACAGTGAACAAGCACACAGCAGTTATTCCACATTTGTGTCATTTATTACCATTCAGACCTATAATACATTTGTAAGAAATCATTCAACAAAAGGCAAGTATTTCTAATTTTATAATAAACACAAATTTATTGATTAAATAGATAGACTACAATAATATAGTTTTACTTTGAATAATTTAGTTTATATTAAATATTTTCTGGTTCAAATCTTGTTTATTAATCTACATTACACAATCATGGTTTTGAAGTTGGTAGCGCTTTTGATTTTAAATGATGTAGTTCACATTAAGTTTAAGTTGTATGGTTTTAGATTTGACTTGGTTCTATATGGTGTATAGTTAGATCAAAGTCACATCCACAATGCGACTTATTAATAAGAGAAAATATTTTTGATGAGATCTCACTTTAGAGATCAAATAGATTATCATACTTTAATTGACTGTAGAAGAGTCTTTCTAAGTGTCTCTGACCAGGACTAACGAAATGTAAACATTCATTCAAATTATTTATTTAGAATAGCTTTAAGTTTGAACCTATGTTGGAAATCCACCAAATATTTGGAAAAGTTGAAAATAAAAAGTTATTACTTTTCCTAGCAACACTATTCGTGTACTGTAAACACTTTATATATACAATCTTTGTGAAAGAAATATTAATAATGAACAAATTATAGTAAAATATATATATAGTAATGAAGATTTCGCAAGATCATATTTTATTAGCTTATTTGATATACTAAAGTTAGTGATATTTTTTTATTATATATATTTGGTACATATATAGAAAGAAAAAGCAGTGTTAGAATCCATTTCGTTTTTACTTGCATGTATATTGATGTGTGAAATACTATTTTATATCAATTTGATACAACTATACAAGTTTAGTAAATAAAGCAAAAGATACGAATGTGACTTGCAAAGTTGTGTGTAAGTGTAACGTGTTCCTAACCAGACTGTGATGAACAAACAGATTAACATTAATCCACACCAAACATTCATTTCTAAGTGTGCACGTAATTCCAATACATTTCCATGCTTATCACTGAAAACTGCTTTCTTATTCTAAAATGGTACGTGTGTTTTTTTTCCTGTGCAACGGTACGTGTGTGTTTGATAAGTATTTTCATCTCAAAAAACAGTTTTTATCAGTGTGTTATATATTATAGCCGATTTGTTTGACGTTAAATGGCACATAGCAGCCATCTTTTTTTTGAATGTGAAAGCATTATATATGAATGGGTTATGAGTATGAATGAAGACTATTACCTATTGGGAACAAACCAAACAAACAGACAAAACAATTTGCAAGATACATGGCTTAGCTTTCAACAAAGATATAGTAAAAACTCCATCTTACTCGTTGTTTTTGATACGTTGTTCAGAAATTTAGAAGACCTTAAACTCTAATCTTGACATTGAAAGCTAATTGTATACAGCTACCTGAAATTTTTGATAAATGAAAAATGATGAAAACATGAAGCTAGATGATGTGATTGTTAGGAAGCATCATGCGGATCACGGGGGTCGGACGAAACTATAATTTTGGAGGTGCAACCACCGGAACTACATTATTGTAATTGTAATAATTATAAGAGGACAACATATCTTCCACATTTATCACCTCGCCATCCACTTTTCTCACCCTTGTCTATCTCCAAAATTTAATATACCATTTTGGACCGACCAGAAGTTCAACACTATTTCAACTCTCTTTCTTTTGTTTACCTTCTCCATATTCCCTTATTTGTGTTTCTTAATCTACCTTTGATATAACATTACTCTCACCTTCACAAATGCATTACTGCATTTTTAAAATATTCGAAATAGATACATATATAGGATCAAGGAGTAAAGATTGTGTTTGTCTAATATTCATTTTGCAAGTTATCCAGCGGTTTGTCACTAGTATATTACCTTCTCACTACTAGAATTCAACCTAATTTGGTGTGTTGTATTGTAGGGTTGTAAAAGAATAGTATTTTACTTTCTTACCAATAAATATATATATCTAATTTTTTATATATATGTCATGAGTACTGTTTTTAGGTAGATATCTGTTAATGAGCGCAGTGAGCATGCATTGCACTCATTTTATCATACACCTACCAAACTTCTAATTCAATAAATACTTCCAACTCTGTCTCTGTTTTTTATTTTGGTTCTTTAATCAGGGATATAGAGTTAAGCAAATCATACTCTATAATAATAAAAATATTCACATAATGACAATTTCTTAAATCTTCCACTCTTAATAAAAAAAATATTCCATTTGATTCTATAAATACCACCGAAATCGAACAACTTATAGTACACAGAAATTAACCCAACATATATAAATATAAGAATTCGTACATATCTTACAATAGTTATATTAGATAGTAAATAAAATGTATATATATTGAATGAAATTTTCATAGGTAGCATCGCCGTCTAGCTAAGCAACTTGTTGTTATGGCAGAACATTATTTGTCACCATCAATACTATGCATTATGTTGACTGCTCTTGTCTCCATCACCGGAGCAAAAGTCCCGGCGATCATTGTCTTCGGCGACTCTTCTGTAGACTCCGGCAATAACAACTTCATACAAACCATGGCTAGAGCCAACTTCGAGCCTTATGGCCGCGACTTCCCCGGTGGCCGCCCCACGGGCCGTTTTTGCAACGGCCGTCTCTCATCTGATTTCACTTCAGAAGCTTTCGGTCTTAAACCGACGGTCCCGGCCTATCTTGATCCTTCATACAATATCTCTGACTTCGCCACCGGAGTTTGCTTCGCCTCTGCCGGCACCGGTTATGATAATTCCACCGCCGGTGTGCTAGTAAGTCCAAAAAAAAAACTAGAATAGTCTGTTTCTTGCGTTACAAGAAACACCGAGATAATGTACTTGTTTTATATTTTAGGGCGTGATTCCTTTGTGGAGAGAAGTTGAGTACTATAAGGAATACCAACACAAACTATCCGCCTATCTTGGCCGTCGAAAAGCCGCAACTATCATCAGAGAATCTCTCTACTTAGTCAGCATAGGAACAAATGACTTCTTAGAGAATTATTACACATTACCAGACAGGAGATCTCAGTACAGCATCAGTCAGTACCAAGACTTCCTCATAGGTATCGCCGAGGTGTTCTTAAAGGATCTTTACAAACTTGGTGCTCGGAAAATGTCTTTCACAGGAATCTCTCCAATGGGATGTCTACCACTAGAAAGAGTGACGAATCTTGACGACCCTTTCAGCTGTGCTAAGAGTTACAACGACTTGGCGATTGATTTTAATGGGAGGTTGAGGAGATTAGTGAGGAAGTTGAATCAAGAACTGGTTGGAATGAAGATATATTTTGCTAATCCTTATGATATCATTTGGGATATTGTTACAAAACCATCACGTTACGGTTTAGAGGTTTCTAGTTCTGCGTGTTGTGGAACTGGATTGTTTGAGATGGGGTTTCTTTGCGGTCAGGATAATCCGTTAACTTGTAGTGATGCGAATAAGTTCGTTTTCTGGGACGCTTTTCATCCGACCGAGAAGACTAATCAGATTGTGTCTGATTACTTCTTTAAACATCTCAAGAATCTCTTCCATTGATATTTATTCACATCTTTATGAGTATATTCATTTACATGAATCTAGCTTCAGTTTTCAAGATTATAGAACGTTTCTTTCTTTGTTAAAAACTCTACACAATCAAAATATAAAACGAACTAGAGGAATGAGTAATGCAAGGCCTTATGATTAGGGCTGGGCAAAATATCCGGACCCGAAGAACCGACCCGAAACCGACCCAAAAATCAGGGTTCGGGACCCGATCGGACCCGGGTTAAATAACCGAATGGGTCCTAAATTGCTATATCCGAAGAATCGGAATCGAACCCGACCCGAACCGAGAACCGAATGAGTACCCGAAATATCCTAAATGTAAATATGTATATAAAAAATTATTTATAATTATACTTATAATTATTTTAATAATTTAAAATTAAAATTATAAATTAAATTTGTTAGTTATTTTGAATATTTTTAGATAAAATATTATATTTTTGATATAAAATACCCAAACAAAATTGTCTCTAACGAGTATTTTTGGTTATTTCTAGGTAAAATAGGTAGTTTGGATACAAAATATCCGAATCATATCGGGTAATATGATTACTTTGGGTACAAATAACCGAATCCGTTTCAGATACTTTGGTTATTTGGTTATTTTCAGAGTCTTTTGCATCAGACCCGAACCCACCCGGACCCGGGAGGACCCGACTCGAACCCGACCCGTAAATTTATAATACCCGAATGGATCCTGAATTCAAAACCCGATACCCGAAAGAACCGACCCGTACCCGAACGGGTACCCGAATGCCCAGGCCTACTTATGATCCAATCAATGCAAACTATATGATCATAATATGGTGAGTGATGTCATATACGTATTATTATTATTTTATAAAACAAAAACAATGGTTTTGCTTTATCCTTTATACAAAACTAAAAAAAAAGGCAAAGTATTATTAGTGTTTAGGGTTGCCATCTATAACAGACCTAAGTTCATCCCAACTTGTTGAGTCCCCAATGAAATCTCCACCGTTGATGTTCTCGAAACTCAGGAAGCTGTTATCATGACAAGTATATGTCGGTTGACTGAAACCAATCGTAGTAAGTTGGTTCCAATAAGGACTCTGTGTTTGTGGCTGAAGCTGTAGCTGAGGCTCGTGTAGCTTGTGGGACAAGGAATCTGCTACGTGGTGGCTGGTGTGATCGGAGTCTAAGCTGCTCGTCTTAGAACACGAATCGGCTAAGGTGTTAACCGGTTTACGGTTTGATTGTACGATGGTTGGGTTTCTGTGATGTGTTACTCGTTTGAAGATTCTGCATAGTGTCCAGACCTCCTGCGAAAACAAGATGGACCAATTAATAGTGTTATTTTCCAAAAGTAAAATTTGAATTCAATTTATGGTTGTGTGATACTACTTTTCTATATTATGGTTTTAAATTTTATAAAGAAAAACTATAACTGTCTAGTGTCGTCATTGATTCAGTCACTATATAAATAAATAAGATCATCCAATTTGGCACACAAAAGCTACTTGAGTGTCTTTTTGGTCCAAAGAAAATAGTATAATTATCAAACTGTGATTGATGGTTTTTAGTGATTGTAATTAATTTTTTTGAATGAATAACCAATGCTAAATTTTAATGGATGAGAAATTTTATTCTACTCTAAAATAATAAAAAACCTTAGTTTGGAGCCTGGTCTAGTTTTAACTTTCTATAAAATTGGTCCCAGTTTCAGCAAAAAGAGAAATATGTGATCAATGCTCGTATGGAAATGTGCATTTGTGACTGACTTTTTAAAGCATTTAGCACCACGAATTTAAGAAAATTCAAAATTGTCTCACTAGAAATTAGTAATACTTAGCCTGATGCATACTTTTCTTGGTTAAACAACCAAAACCGGATTGTTTGTTTATACTCTATAAGACAGTTTAGATCAATAACAGAAAGTCTCATATATATATATCAAAGAAATTGATCCAAAAAAAAAATATATATATATATATATATATATATATATATATCAAAGAAATTGAACTCACTGCTTGTTGGACTGGCGAGTTGGTTTTTGCTGTTGAGGGGAGGCGGAATTCATGCATCATCCAATCGGTTTTGGTACCTTTACCGGCTGAACCAATATAGTAAACCAGAGATTTCTTTAGACCGACGCAGTCAAGATTAGAGTAAACCGGTTTATCAATACCAGTGGCTTTCCAGAAACCTGAACCAGTGACTCGGTTTGGTCTAACGCTATTCCTGTATTTCCTGCCTCTCATGCAGAAGAAGTACCACTCCTTTTCCCCGGCGCTGATCATTCCTAGTAAAATTTTCAGTAAATGTTCAAATTAATTTGTCTCCGTGATTTTATTCTTTTGTATTTATTAGTAAGCAAAAGGATATTATAACCTCTCTTGGCATAGAAAACACAGTGATTCCAAATAAGTGGCATATATTAGGGTATATGTACATAATTAAGACATGTGTTATATAAATGGTCCCATGCACATCTTTTTATTTTTGTAACTGCCCATGCATATCTTTTTAATATATGAAAGCATACTTTTCTCTATTAAAACAAAATTGATCACAGATTGATTTTGTAAAAATATATTATAATGTTCCAATTATACGAAATTTCAACTGACTACCAAGGTGTTTGATTCAGATTTTGGTTTTTCAATATTATGTTCATGAAATTTCAGTCATAGGAAGGGGTATACTCCAAATTGATTTTGGTCTTGTTTTGATAGATTAGATTGCGAACAAAAATATTGGTATCTACAAATCAAAATCATTTGAATCCTTCAGGATCATTTTGAAGACCCCTAATTAGTAAATTAGTATTATATTTATCTTAGAAAGATACGAGAGAAAAAGGAAGACAAGGGTCTTACTCGGAAGATCCCAAGGATCGTATTTGTAGATATCCACCTCTTTAATAAGTTCGAGTTTGATGGGTTTATTCTCTATTTTTCTTCGAAGATAATACTCTAAGAGCTCTTCGTCCGTAGGATGGAATCTGAAACCAGGAAGTGTTGTTTCATCTTCTTCTTCATGATCCTTATTACCTTCACCACTCATCTTCGCTACATCGATCTCTTTATATCACCCAATCAAGTCTCTCTGAATAAACTTCTCTGTACATTTATATATATAGGTAAATGTCTATCAATTTCATGATAAATTTTATGCCGTTTCTTTGTTTGTTGCTGGGTCAATGACGAATGACTTTGACTATTATTGGACATATAATATCTTATACGGGTTTAATATTAATCACTATTTTAATGTTATTTATCTGACAAATAGCTTATACAAAATAATGAAAATCGATTTATCTCATGGTCTTTGTGATTGAACAATATATGTTCTTTTAAAAGCGACAACTATTTATAAAAATGATCCTTAACCATTTCCAAAACTAATTAAAGTTTGTCATAATTTTCGGGTTTTTATTAGGTATATTCAGAAATAAAACTCATCTGTTATTAGCTCTCAAGGTTTTAAATCATTTGTATTTTAATTCAATGACGAAAATATATAATGTAGTATTATAACTTAGATGTAGGTGTCCCATTAGTATGCAGAAAAGTCCAAGGAAATGGGAAACAAAAATCACTGATTGCAACTATAGTATATACATTATATTTTTGCCGGCGAAAAGGAAAATATATGCATGATGTAATATCACCGAAATTCAAACATGTCGTTACCTGTAGCTGTTTGTTACGAATACATACAGTAGTTATATTAAATTAATAAACTAGTTCAATATATACTTATATAGGTAAATTCACGTGGTTTGACCATATAGATTTCCTAAATAATGAAAATATTTAAATAGTAATAATATTCTCTTTTTTGTGAATATGAAAATATATGCATGGGAAACTAAATAATAATAATAATAATAAGGCTCAGTAATAATATTCTCATAAGAACCAAAAGATAAACTTTTAAATATGCCAAGGCTTGTGTCAAAAAAAAAAAATCTTTTAAATATGCCTCCATGGTGGACTCGACTATTTTGATAGCCGAGGAGCCAAACACAAACGTCGATATATTAACAATTAACATTCTCATATCATTATCCCCTTCAACTTCATTCCAAAGTGTTAGTTATACACTAACACTTAGTTAAAGAAAAGGGAGTACTTTTTGTTACAATTCAAAATATTTAATAATTATGTTGTGGACAATTAACCATATGATTCTTTTATAGTAGAACTTTTCCATTCAAACAAGATAACAAAAATAAGTACCAGTGCACTAAACAATAAACGATTTACCGGCCAATTCAATTTCCTATGTTTAAAAACCAAGATTATTAATATTACCGCCCCAAATAACAGATACTAGTAAAATAGTTTATCACATGAACTTTGCCACGTACACCCGATGGATTTAGTGAGTACTACGTTTGTATTTCCTAACCACGCCGTTTATTAGTCATATCTTGGAGCAGGTACAAAAGAGCTCAAAGAGGAGTTCAAACGTTTCCCAAAATAAAAAAAAATATTTAAATAATTTCACTTCTTTGAATCTCTTTTTCATGAGTTCTCTCAATTGCTTCAATTACTTTTTTTTTCTTTTTAAAAAATTAAACAGAAAAAAAAAAAAAAAAAATTTTAAAACTTGAATCTCAAAAGAAGATTCACTAATGTATATGCTATTACGAGTTACGAGTAGTAACTCTTATATTTTTTTGGTTCAACATAACTTTTATGGTTGCTTATTGGGACATTGGTTGTTCAGAAACTGGTAGAACATACATTCTTTCCATTTCAATTTGTTGTATATTTTAAAATTTTCACACATATTAATAAAACATATAATCAATACATAGTTTTTTTTTGTGATTATCATTTTACTACAAATCTAAACCAATGAGAATTCAATGCAATTAATTTTTTTGGAAATTATAATTAATCATTATTATTTGATAAAATATACCTTGAAAATGTAAAAAAAAATATATCCTTTTGAAATTAAGTTTTTTTTCTAAAACATGTAACATTATGAAATGGGGAAGTATGTACTAAAGCATG